GTCCCTCTCCCTCTCTCGGCTTGATCTTTTAGTCTCTCACACCACTCCTGGCTCGATCTCTCAGTGTCTCACTACTCACGCAGGGTCGCCGCTCCTAACGTCCCAGCTCGGATCTCTCAGTCTCTCACGTAGTAAGTCTCATCTTGCAAATTTTTCACTTCAATATTTCATTTTACTCTTGTCAGTTCTCTCCTCCTTAGTTGACAATCGACATAGACATTTATATACTTGTATTTGCTGAATTGTTGACATTTATTATCTGATTACTAGGTTGCTAGTGAACACTAAACTTTGCTCTACTTTCTAGTTTGGATTTGCTTCTACTGTGGAATTATTTATCAAGTTTGATTGCAATAAAACTACATTTCCTATCTTTTTTGGGTTATGTTCTCTTGTATTTCGAGATTCTTCATTACTTCTGTTGCTCTTGCTGAACTATCTTCATGTTATTTGTTTTTTTATTATGTTTTTAGTAAAAATTGGTTTTGTTTGAGGAAAATTGAGAAAGTATGATTATTTTTGTTTCTTTTATGATTACTTTTGTTAAATTTGATTTGGATTGAGAAGGAATTGAGGAATGGTACAAAGTTAGCAAGAAAATGTCAACGGTAAGACTGTTATAGAGGAAAATGTGGCAGTTCCAACGGAAGATCCAAGTACTATTGTTCAACATGGCAGAAAGGAGACAAGATGCTGAAGAAGTGGCACCACTAGCGAAGAGAAAAAGGTGGCTAACATATGATATTTGGAATCATTTTACAAGATTCCCATTGACCTAAACCCAAAGGAAACATAGGGCGAAGAATAATTATTGTGGCATAGATCATGCAAGTCATCCAACTAAAACTGGGATGAAATAGTTGTGGCGACATTTTGAAAAGTGTCCCAAGAACCCAAACAAAGTGAGCAAGTCACAAACTATGCTTGCTACTATTTCTTCTCAATCATCTCAATCTTATCACTTGTTCAATCAAGAACGATGTAGAAAGGCTTTTGCAAGGTTCATTATAAAGGATGAATTGCCTTTTCGAGTTGTGGAAAGGGAGGGTTTAAAAGAACTTTTGCAAAATTTTAAACCTAAGTTTCAGATGCCATCATGATGGACAATTGCTAGATTGTTACCAATTGTATTTAGAGGAAGCAAAATGTTTGACAAAATATTTCAAGCAATCTAAATGTCATGTCTCTTATCACTGATTGTTGGACTCCAATACAAAACTTCAACCACATGTGTTTGACTGCACGATAGATTGATGAGAATTGGACTTTGCAAAAAAGGATTTTGAAAATCACAAAAGGGATGCATTGACAAACAAATTAAGGATTTTTTATTCAATTGGAGCATTAAAAGAGTCTTTACAATTACAGTTGACAATACTTCTTTTAATGACATTGCAATTGCATATTTGAAGAAACAGTTGAAGAGTTGGAACAGTTTAATATGTGATGGAGAATTTTGTCCAATGTAGTATGCAGCTCACATTTTAAATTTGATTGTTGGAGAGGGTCTGAAGGAAATGAATAAGTCTATTGAACTTATTTGAGATGCAATTAAGTTTGTTAGATCTTCTCTAGCTAGGCTATAGAAGTTCAAGGAGCTTGTAAAAAGAAAAAATTGATTCGAAGAGTTTCCTAGCCTTGGATTGTCCCACGAGGTATTGTTCACATTATTATTTTCACTTTATGTCAATTTCATTTGCTAATTCCTAATTGTTTATTTCTTGTCATGGGATTAGGTGGAATTCGACTTACCTTATATTGGAGAATGCCGTTAAGTTCATCAAAGTTTTTGATAAGATGGAAGAAGAAGGTTAAGATTACAAGGATTATTCTAAGAAAAAAGTTAAATTAGATTCAAGCCAACATGGTGATGCCTCAAATTATGATGATGACGATGATATTGACAACATTGATAAGGAGTACAGTTGAACCGCCTAATGCATATGATTGGAGTGTCACCAAAAAGTTTTTTTTTTTTTTTTTGTGTTTTTGAGGTTGTTCTATGCTAAGATCCTCAAATTTTTTGGATCAAATTTTGTGACAACAAGCACATGCTTCCAGCATATAGTTGCAATCCAGACTTATCTTCATTGAAGTGTAGCTAGTGACTACTCTATCTTGAGTGTCATGGCAAGAAGAATGCAGACAAAGTATAATAAGTACTGGGAAAAAATAGAAAAAATGAATCCATTATTGATCATAGTAGTGATCCTTGATCCTAGATTCAAAATGACATATGTTAAGACTGCTTTTGAAGACATTTTTCCTGATCCTACAAAGCATGAGGCCATCTTGAAAAAGACTATGGATGTCTTGTATCGATTAGATGATCATTATTCTAGTGTTGTTGAGGTTGATCATGGTGACGCATCTAAATCTCAATCAACAGTGGAGCAACAAGAACTACATGACAGTGTTGGAGTTGGGGATGACATTGACATGCTATTTCATGATGATACTGATTCTACATTTCAAAAGTTTCTGGCCACTGCAAATATTATTGTTAATGCAGAGAAAATTTTTGAGGTGGATGAATATCTTTACCCAAATTTAGGTGGTTTTCGTGACCCAAAATTTGATGGCTTGTCATAGTGGAAAGTGAATGCTTCCAAATATAGAGTTCTTAGTGTAATAGCACGTGAGTTGTTAGTTGCACATGTCTCTACAGTATCTTTTGAATCAATTTTTAGTAGTGAGAGTTGAGTACTAGATAATTTTAGGAGTTTTTAATTTACAAAGATGGTTGAGGCACTCGTATGTGCCCAAAATTGGCTATCCAATAATACTCCAAAACTCGATGACCCTGAACTCAATAATTTTGCTGAGAGTACAAATATTGTTATTGGTATTTCAAATTTCAATCATATTTTCAATTTATATGATTTTCTCTTCTTATTAAATATTAATGAATTGATGAGTTTCTTTTAATTTGTTTTGTAGAGCAAGAGTTAGTAGTCCCAAATGCAGCCACCTTCTCAAGTAACTCTGAAACAGAAGAAGAAGATCATGATGGTGATGATGAGTGATGATGGTTAACCCCTTAGATTTCTATACTTCTGGTTATTTTGCTTAAAGCTTGAACATTCAAAATTCAGCATGATGGATTGTGACTGTATGGACTATGGAGTATGGACTTTGATTAATTATGGACTATGGAATATGGTCTTTGATTAATTATGGTTAGGTTATCCTGTATTATGGTTTCCATGTCTTTAAATTTAAATGTCCAGATTACTTTTTTCATTAAACAGGTTGCCCATAGCCCACATAAACTCGCTCATTTAACAATGGGCTTAAACGGGCTACATACAGGTACGGGCTTGCTCATACCCATGTAACCTAAAACGAGTGGGCTACGGGTTCTGGGTCGGGCTGGCTAACCCGCCTGTTGCTCAGCCTTGGAAGTTAGTGTATTTTACTCCTGTATTTAATGTGTTCAACCGGGTCTTTCACCATCATCGCTTCAGCAGAATTTTGTAATTCGTACCATATCAGGAATGCAAATATCATTTTATCCATTTATGAGACCTACTTTGATTTTACTTATGAGGTCTAATGGTGAAGTTTGGCCATAAAAAGTCCATTCAAAAGACAAAATCTAATGGAGGTAGTTCATGAAAAACCCATCTAGAAGATGACCAAAAATCTAATAAGGGCAATCAATGAGGAACAAATTTAACCTTATTGATGGCTTAATTGAACATCTGTCTAAGTTGAAGTTATAGCTTTATTCATGTGCCATTATTAATGTTCATTTCCAGACAAATTAAGTGAGCACTAAAAAAAAAAAAGTTATATAGTTTTTCTTTTGGGATACTTCGTAAGATGATTAGTTTTTAGCTTTCGATTGTTGATCTTTAGACTTACAAAGCGGATGATGCTAACTAGTGTGTAAAGGGAAGATGCGACTGGAATATTGTGCTAGTAAATTCCCATTCTTTTTGATCATACGCGTTTGTTCACATTCCTATTGATTTTACAAGAAAACCTAATATATTTTGAAAGTGGTTTCAAAATTATCATCGGTAAATACATTCTTGAGATAATTAATGAATTACGTTGATAAAAAAATTGATTAAAAAAGTTACAGATAATAATTATATTAAAAATATAATTTCCCCCCCTAAAAGTGCCCTTATCTTTAATTTGGAGAAGAGAATGAAGGAGGGAGAATTTATCATCTCAACAATTTATCTTAATAATAGATGCAATAATATTAGTATGAGTAATTAAATGAAAAAAATAAAAAATAACAAAAAATCGGAAAAAGTCTAACACGTGTTTCTTGTAAATAGGAACAAGTAATATATAAAAAGAAATTCTTTGACAAATGAGAGTGTTAATGGGTTATCCCTATGTCAGGAGATGTGATGTGTGGAGTGGGTGTTCCCAAACTTGTCGGACAAATTTTAATTGTGATTCACATACGCTTACTTTGCCATCACATGTTAGTTTTGATTAAAAATCAGCACTCAAAAGAACTAGAAGAACCTATTCATAAAAATTTTCCTTTAGTCACTTGGTCTTCTTTTTCTATGTAGGATTTTTTTTTTTTTTTTACGAATTTACTCAATCTATTACTTTTTGTTTGCATCACTCTTTACTTGCAAGATGTTTTTGTGTTTTGTTTTTCGTTTTATAAGTTCGCCATAGTTACTCTTTATCAGCATTCAGTAGATGCAGTACCAAGATAGTCCATTCGCTGTTCAGCACATTTAGCTCATTGTAGTCAGATCACCTAGGGTTGTTTAATACTCCTCCGGTCCTAAATAGGGGTCTTAATCCACTTAGCTTAATTAGCTCATTACATCCCCTTCATTTCATGGTAAATTTCACCTTTCGGGCAGTTGTCTCTCTTACATTGTAATATGGAAAAGAAGGTGAAAAAGGACTCCAACTAATTACAATTTTGTGAAATCAGATTTACTTCAGATTTTTGAGATATTGTACTTCTAACACACATGGCTCATGTAATTTATGGGTATTTGAAGATTTGTTTGAAATGCTATGTCATGTTCATTATATGCCCTCCAACTGATAGGCATCCCAAGAAGCATTATATAATTCTATTTCTCTGAAAATACAGGTTCCAACCAGAAGCATTATATATACATGCTTCAATTTCATGTCAGTCTCTCTCTCACGTTGAGGATCTCAATCCCAGAACACCCAACTGGAATCAGAATAGTTTGTAATAGCCAAACCATTGATGATAAATGCCTTCTAGCAAAGATGAACAAAAAGTATGGACACTGAATCATCGTGTGAAATTCCATCAGAAGTTTTAGGACATACAAGTGAAGCAGTGAAGCATATTGAAACTTGTTGACAGTTTACAGGGACAAAAATCAACATAAGAAAATCTCCCCTCGTTGTGAGACCACAGTTGGATGCTGCTCGGAATCCCAGTCCATTAGGCAGAAGGCTTCCATGGAAACATGAATTATTTGGCACCTCATTTTAGAGTAATGACAATCCAAAACACAGAAGATTAAAAGGTGCTTGAAGCCTTGCATCCCTTATGACAATGACATTATGCACATTCATAGATGTATAACCACCGCCATAAGCCAATCAATTAGGTTTTGAGAGCGACTAAAATCTTTTGTCTTCGACATAATACAAAGCCAAGTGGGTCATCAGACAAAACCACGAGAGCCAATCAAATGACTACCAAGCATCAATACTTCAAAAGTTGAGCCTTTTTGTGTTGGAATGTATCTAACATCCATGTTTTGGTACACACCAATAAAAGTTCAAAATTCCACATCGGCTCTATATACTGTGTCAATGTCAATACTTCATAGGCGATTGAAAAGCCTTCTGAGGCTTTCTTTGTTTAATTTTCACCTTCACATTAATCCCATTATCAATGATAGATTGAAGAACAATCTGAAGCTTTCCCTCCAGCCTCTCTCCTTTCCTTGGTGTGTAGATCACATCATGAATATCATCAGCTAATGCTCTTTGAGCTAGTAATGACCCTACAGCAGCACAAGTGTTTTTGTTCTTAGTGGAAGTGAAGTCAAACTTCATATCCTTCGAAATAGAATGAGCCACAGCAACAACCTTGCTAGTTACCCTATGAACAACACAAGCACGAACAGAGGCTTTTGATATGAATATATCCAAGCAAAATGGCTCATGATATGGACCTGTAAGCTGGTTTAAAGTAAGAGTCCTCTGCTTCTTGTTCTCCACAGAAGTAACACTAGCTTCAGGAAGCCGAGGCATATTAACACTTCTAGTGGTTTGGACTTCTTGAACTCTGGAAGTTTTAGGACTTTGGCTAGCTTTCTTTTCCTTCTTAGTTTCTTTCTTAGAATTTTCCTTTCCACCATCTCCTTTCTTTGAAGATTTCTTCCTGTGAAACTCTAGATTATATTCTTCAAACTCCTTAGAACTCTTTTCAAGTTTGTAGAACAGATTCCCACGAATTCTCATATTATCAATGTCTTCAAAATCAACTTCATCCTCGGCATTGGAGGAATTGGAATCAATGAGTTCATTAGTTTCTTCCTGACCTGTAGAACTTGCTTCTGGTGCACCCTGTTCCCTCCCTTGCCACGCTTGAGATACTCCTGATGAGACCCGCCAGGCATCGTGATCCACAAGCTCAATATTGTAACCATTTGAAGGAAATTTACCATCAGAGAAGAATGGAGAGAGATTATGAAGGCTACTGGAAAAATCAGAAACTGGTACTGAATCAGTTATAGCTTCATCCTCCTTATTGGGAATTTTGTGGTAGGCCTCAAAGCAAAAACTGAGTTTCCTCAAGAGATGTGGATTATACCATGAAACAAAGGCAATTCCTTTTCTCGCGAGCATCGACCCCTGATCAGAATGGTTAGCGGGAACTCGAAATGGGAATTATGGTTAGTAGTACTCACAGAGGAAAACCGACAAACAACTGACGTGCAGTGGTGGAGGGAGTGCGAGGCCCCGATTCTGCAGCTTTCTTTTCTGCCATATTTAGAAATTAACTATGAGGGGAAGAAGAAAGGAAAGATTTTGCAAAAGGTATGGTTACCGAATAGCTTAGTTTGTGAGTAAAGATTCGTTGTCCCCTTCGTCCTCTTCGTCGCTACCAACCTCTCGCCGCCCCTTTTTCGCTTCTTGGTTTTTTGACGTTTCGAATGTTATTTTTGTTCTGTGACTTCAGGCTGATCGGTTGCTTGATTGGGCTCATCTTCTTCGAACCAAAGATGATGCTATGAACTTTGAAATCTCATAAATTGGCTAAAAGATATAATTAGTCTGATAATTTTATATAAGCCTTCAATTTAATTCCTTAATTTTAAAAGTATATTTTTAATCCTTTAATTCTAAATTTTTTTAAAAAAATGATGATATTAAGATATTAAATGTTAATAAAATATTTTCAAATACTAACATATTAAGTTTAATTTTCAAAATATTCACGATTATTACAAAAAAAAATCATCATTAAAAACTAATAATTTTAAGATTAAAAGACCAAATGTATGCTTTTTAAAGTTAAGGGATCAAATTAAAATTTTATATGAAGTTAAAAGACTAAATATATATCTTAGCCCTCATAAATTTTATTAGGTCAATACAAATTTTGATTCCTCTAATAATCTTGGTATTAATAACTAACTCTTTTTATTATATTGTACTACCTTCGATCCTTAATATAAGATTTTATTTGATTTTTGTTTTGGTCCTAAATATAAAATCCCAATCCACTTTGTTTTCATGTTTATGAATTTTTTCCTAAAGTAGTCTTTCTAACAATTATAGTTCTAGCTAATGCACTTTATTAGCAATGATATTTTAGGAAAAACAATACATAGTTATTATAAATAATTAATTTAATTTCTTTCCTTAATCTTCTCAAATTAGTCAACTAGTCCTTATGATTAGGATCGGGGGTAGTAACATAATAAAGAATTAATTGGTGAATAAATTAAAGTTTAATGGGGATTTAATACATAATTTAATACGTAAAAGAATCACCTAAAAAAATAAAATTGGTTTAATATAATATTTAGCCCATCAAGTTTGTTCTGATTTTGATGTTGGTCTCTGAAGTTCCGAACCATAAGCTTTGATCCCTCAAAGAGCTAAATGATCTAAGTTTTTATTGAATTGTATGGACTAATGTTTTAAATGAAAAGAAATTTAATGAGATCAAAACCTATGATTTAAAACTTGAAAAACCAAAAGTAAAATAAGAACAAAGTTGAGAGATTAAAAATTGTATTAATCGAATAAAATTCAAATAGTGGTATTATCAATTACGTATAATGGTATGTTAGTAAAATAATATATTTATTTTCACAAAAAACATTAATCAACATAAAATGGTTATTTATACAAATTTAAGATTTTAAAATGAAGATATCACTTCTCATTACATAAGTCATTCATATTTTTAGCGCAGAAGAAAAAAATTTGAAGAACTATGAAATGTGACATTTACAATTTTCAAGGCAAAAACCAAGTTGGTAGAATTAAATGCATTTAACCCTGCAGGGCAAAGCCTGAATGAGAGGGGTTGAAATTTGAAAAGACGATTATATTTATAGTATAAAATTTGTATTTGAAGAGAGGTGTGTGTATATAACAGCCATATAATATTCTTTTTATTAGTCCTTCCATCACTGAATCCTCTGCAATCTATTAAAAAGTACTCTTGATGTGGGGGAAAAACATCATACCACAACGTAATACTACTCTTCTTTCTTAATATAAGAGCTAATTAATTAATTTACATAAATTAAAAAAACTAATTAAGTTACTTATTTATAATAAATAAGTTTTTTTTAAAAAATTATTACTAATTAAATATATTAACTAGAATTACTATTTCTACAAGAACCATAAAAAAAATAAATAAATATAAAAAAACAAGATGAATTAAAATTTTATATTTAAAATCAAAATAAAAACCAAATTAAAATAATAGTTTGCAAAGTTTGTTCTATTTTTTTTTCTCAATATAATGCAATATGTAATAGTTTAATATATTTTTATTTAATACAATTTGAAACCACGCGCGTGTATGGGTTACGTCGTCAATTAGGACTCACGGTTGACATAAAATTTGTAATGTAGCATAACCATATTTGTACAAAGGTGAATTGCTTTGAAATTAAAAGGTTATTTGGGTTAATTTTAAAAGTAAGAGATAAAGTATGTATAACGAAATTGTTTCGACTCGCAAAAAAAAAAAAAACTTTTTAAAATATTTTTGAGTAAATTAAACACCCCCTAAATCCTCACGTAAAGACGATGGCTAACTGATCAATTTTTGATCAACCAGACCAATTAACCCTACTTTTTCAAGAGAATCCAAACGATACTTTGCATGTCAAAAAATAAAATAAGTGGAAAAAATGTTTTCTTTTCCCTTTCATAACTCCAATCAAAATACTCCTAACAATGCCTTAGACTCAAAAGTGCTCCTAACCTCTCATTTATTTTTGATGAGATGAAAACCCAACCAAATTACTGACATAGTAGATTGAATCAATTTTGATTAGTTTGGTAATTTGTGGGTTTTTCTTTTTTCCTGGCCAGATTAATTTGAGATGGTTCAGTTCACTTTTGAAGAATCCTTCCAGTTAATGACCTGAAGCTTCTCCAAATAACCCAAAACGCACAAAACACAGTGCGTTTCATAGGGTCAGATTGGAGGAGGCAGTCAGACTCATCTGCTCCAAACAAAGTCAGCATGAAGAAACCAAAGCTATCTCATCATCACTCAAGTAAAATTCCACTTATTGGCATTGGCTGCATCCTAACTAATACACTATAAAGACTGACGTGCAAATTACATGAAGCTATCATCATCTTCACCACTAAAAATGCAATAACTGAGGATAAGATTTCATCCAAATCAGTCCACATCTCATCAAGTCAGCTATCATACCCAGCTTTTGATCCAGAAACTACCTGGATGATGCTTTATCTCTCAAGCTCTCTATCACCACTCTCTTCCTAGTGTCAAAATCGATTTTTTCAAGATCAAAAGCAGTCCCCAAATAGCCATACAAGATCCTCCTCTTCTCTCCTTTCTTCTCATCGTATTTTACCAAATTCGGATTGTTCTCGTCATCCTTACCTAATGTCAGGGGCTGCACACGGGCCCACACCTTGCGTCCATGATTCTCCTTCTCAAAGTGCTCAGCAAGCCGAATGGCTTCATGAACACCGGATTGGTCCCCAGCAAATTTAATCAGTGATATGCCCAAATGACCATCTCTGCCATATAATGACTTTGATTTGCCACCCCCAATTCCGAGTTCTGGAAAACCATGAACACCAAATGGCAAAAATATATCAAGATAAATTCACTATAGTCAGATATTCAAGTGGACGTCTCCTAAATGCTAAAATCTTATAGTCCCATCAAATATAGAAGCAGCGGCCATTGAAATGCTGCCTCTTAATGCAAAGAAACTAAGAATTTCAGATCTTTGAGGAAATGCCCCACCCAAAATAAATGCTATTGCCAAGAAAAACTAGACAAACAGGGATGAGCAGAGATGGAAAACAAAGGGCATGATTATAAGGAATGCAGCAACACATGGAGGATGCTCAGAGGTACTAAATAAGTTCAATCTACAGTACCCATATTTGCATTCAACAGTAGAGGCTTTATCTAGCTTGACACAAGAGACCAATGTCTTACAATATCTATTGTCACCAATAGTACTTGCAGAGTTTATGCAAAATTAGTTAACATCTAAACAAGCTATTTGCAAAAGCAGAGTAACCAGCTCAGGCACTTGAATAGGATCGGTCAAAAAGATCAGTTGATCTCAAAAGTTAATAGATAAGAAAGGTTAAAGAAATACCAAATACAATAACATGCAGTTAAGAAAGCAAGAAGCGGTCAGGGAAACATGGCAAAAACCCCTAAAAACGAAACTGCCGTAAATTCACATATCTGAATTGTGATAGCAAAACTAAAACAAAATGCCTATCTATCAAAACTTGCTCCCCCGTCAGAACTTTCTCTTCAAAACTAAGACAAGAGGAGCTTTATTGCACAGATAACGAGATGCAAAGAGCAACATAATTGATTGAAATTCCTTCATCTAAAAATGGATACACATTGCAAATGTGAAGGGGAAAATATAATATCTTAAAATGGTACAACGAAAGTGAAGGCTCGGCCACCATTAAAAATGCCACCCACTGACATGTTCACATGCGCATAAAAGCATAGGCATGCGTCCATGGCCTTGATAAAAGTGCAGACCCCACTTGAATACCCCATTATCCATACCATACCATACCATACCACTCAATGTGAAGCTTAAAAATCCCATAATACTTAACCTGCATCAATGAGTCCCCCTAGGAGAACCAACATTCAGGCAACTACCCTCTATGATGCCTCACTCAACCTTCTTGCTAATCAAAACCCTCAAAGGATGACCTTTCTAGGGCGGTCACAATCAAACTCTAAAACGCTAAGCCCACTTAAATATATCCCATTGAACACCCTATACTGCTCAATTCTAGAAATCAAGCACCATACTACCTTTGTCTCTATTGAACATCTTATACTGCTCGATTCTAGAACTCAAGCACTATACTGCCTTTGTCTCTATCAGCTATACAACGTAATAGACCAAAGATAGCAAGATCTATGCATAAACAGACAACATATATGTTTGTGTGCAAGTGTGTCATTTAATTAAAGGGTGGAAATCGGCTTCAACACTTGATGAGCAAGACAAAGCTGAAGACTCAAATCTATAAAATGTGAGCTTCTTTTGACGTCTGTTTCTTTAAAACTATAGCACAATAGAATTTAAGATTCATATAAAATTCACAGAAAGCTTTTCTACTTCCCCAGCTTTCCAATTTGGAAACATATCATTCGGTTGGTTTTCTTTCCTTTCATTATCAGAATAATTCATCCAAACAACGGATAGGATAGTTACTTCAACAATTTCCTGTTATATTTTGTTACATTATAATTTCTATCCATCCAAATGTTCTGCAGGAAAAAAACCTTACTTGTTACAATTTCAAGCACTGGGCCTGCCTTCTGCCCACGGAAGAGGACATCTACTTAAAATTCAATGGTTGTACTCGGGAAGACAGACAGTGATTGTTACTAAAACAGTTCGTGTACAAAGAACTTCCACATATTAGACGCCCTTGTGTTCACTATCTTTAATTAAAAAGGTTGAAGAATGGAAATACAGTTTAGTGCATATCCAACCCTTAAATCATCTACTCGATATCCAAGAAGTAAGAACTACAGCAATGACTAACATAATATAGTAACGCACGTTGCTAACTCAAGGGCTAAACGCTTTTGAATCCAACTAAGACTACTAGCGGCTTGAGAATCAACATGGCAACCACATACCAACACTGCGGATGTACTACTAAGAACCCAAGCACGTGTTGACTACAGAGGATTAAATAATGAAGGAAAAAAACAACGAACAAATCTATTCATGCTTGTAAAATTTTTATAAGTCCTATGAAACCAAAAATAATCAGTAAGAATGCATTGTCAAACTTAAATCGCACACAAGGCTAAAGGTCACCTGCGTTAAAACCCAAATAGTTCTAATCATTTATGAGAGGAGATAACTGGGGGATAAAGGGACGATGATGAAGAATTACATCATCAACATCCCTGCATTAAATACTAACATTTTCCACTCACAACTACTGGACAAGAGACAACCACAGCAAACCTTGGAAAAACGATCTCTGTAAAATCTATTCTACAAGCTATACTTTCTGGCTCTAAATTACATAAACTACATTCATACACTAACTATATCTCATAACATAATCTTTAAGGGAAGCATAACATTTTGTTAAATCGACTAGTTTGACCCTACTTAAATCTGGGGACTTTTCGCCCTATTTAACACCAATGAAACTAGAGTTGCTTTTCACTTAAAACCTCAAGATATTGGTACATCATACGCCTAAATTGTAAGGGCATTACAGTTTGAGAATTCAGTAAAAAGGAAGGGAAAAGTTGGATAAAAGCAATTAACAGCTCCAAGAAACCTGCTTTAAGTTATTGCTTTGGCAATCTTTCAACCCCGTCATAAGCTGTAACAGAAAACACACAGGCCAAGTGCAACTGATGATTAACTACCTATGTCATACTGCTACTAGAAGGGTACAACAACAAACCTTTCCCACTAAGTGGGGTCAGCTTGCCACTAGAAGGATAATGCACCAAACTACAAAATGACAATACTTTGACAAGAATACAAGGTGTAATCCAGAAGCAAAACGATGGTGTAATTCTATCTAAAAGGAAGGAAAAAGATAGCAATTAAATCCAAAACTCAAGGGAAAATGAATGCTATTATGGGCCGTTATCCCTAAAAAATGGATCAGGGAGCAAAGCCCATGATTAAAAGACTGGGAGATGGGAAAGAGTGTAGCTGCACAAAATTCTAACTCTATGACAACTCCCAACTAAACAAGAAGGCATACACCAACAGAAATTTGGCATAACTTATACAGGACGAAATCAGGTATTTGTACAAAATAAGAGTCACCCTTCTTAGCAACTCAATAACTACTAACCACTGAGGCACACAAAAAGAAAATTTTTGCATGCTGCAACTCAACCGTCATTATCTAGTGTCTCCAAATTGTTTTAAGCAATGCTTCCTTTTTTTTCCTACCAGATTAAGAAATGCTTCTGTGTCACCCGCAACTACTACAAAATCAAATGACTTCCATCTTCTCATCTATGAAAAGAATGTCATAAAAGTATTCTACTAGATTTCAGCCTAAACCACAAATTAGCAACGAGTAAAATATTTTAACCAAACAATTTCCTAGATTTGCACAGATCACAGGCATTGCCTGTAAAGACAGCTATCAAGTACCAGCCTAGTAAGCATGCTACTGATTCGCTTGAACATAGTCTGCCCTACAAGACATTGCAATAGAAGATAATAAGGAACGGAGGGGCACTTTATACCTCTAACTTTATTATCCATTGTTTTGTTTCCCAAGCCCTCCATGCGACCATCTCTTCCCTTTCCAGTAATTGTGTTATGGATGATCACCAAAGGAGGCCACAAGATCAGATCATCCCGATTTGCAGCTGCTTCATCAGCAGGTAGGAACTGATATGACTTTGAGCTATCAGGTGGCTTTGAGTAGTTCCAACCCATTAAAACACACAAAGCTTTGTGTAAGCCCAAATGATCAACATGCAAATCAGCATTATCTGAGTTGTAGGTGTGCATAATGAGAGCATGCATATCTGGAAAATCTTTAGAAGACCTGAAAGTTGGAATATCAAGGACATTGAAGAATACATTTCAGGCAGTCATCCAGAACAAGCACAAGAGTCTAGATTCTAATAATAATAGTAAAGGGAGAGAACACGGACATCAATTTTGATACACAAGTGCCCAGGATGTATTTTGATCTACACAAGGATCACCTATGTTCTAAGTCACATCCCACACTTTGGTCAGCACAGGCATGGCGTGGCGTAGCAATATAAAACTAACAGAGAAAGCAAACAGAAATCTCCAATATAAAACAAATCTCTCTAGAAAGAGACAAGAGGAAGAATCTAAATGGAACCTTATGTTTCCATGACAGAACTCAGAAAGCCACACGGTTAAGCCATTGCACACAAATAAACATGAGTGTACACAAGGCATTATGTCAAGAAACTGAACCTGAGAAGAAATTTTCTAAAGGACCATAACAATGCATGACCCTACGCTAAAAATCAAGCAACAGCCTCATGAAAAGGCATCACCAAATTAAAGATCATCAATGATGTTAAAGAGCTTCAAAGATCGTCCAACCTAATGAACACAAGTTGCACAGAAGAATATCAGTAATTGTTTCTTAAGCTCATCCACAATCCATCTGAACTCATATTTTGAACTCAACAAATTTCCACACAAGTAGATCCTATTTCCTGCAAAGCACCTTACCATTGAGCAAGAAAAGACACCGAGCATGAAAGGGACAAACAAGTAAAAGAAAGGAAAGAGGAAATGGGAAATGAATCAGAAGCCCGTAACAAATACAAATGTAACAGATCAAACAGATCTAGTCAAGCTAAATTCTGTTTGACATCATTTTTTTTTTGGGGGGGGGGGGGGGGGTTGTTGTCTTGTTAGTGGGTGAGGAGTGGGGAAAAAACCAAATGGCAGCATCATCCCCAAAAATTAATCCTTACCACGCCAAAGTAACATCAACATAGGGAACCCATAATATAGTGCCTCAATGTCTAACTAAATGTTCATCCAAAATGGATAAACACTGCGCCCAAAAAAAAAAAAAAAAAAAAAGAAGAAGAAGGAGAAAAGGAAAAAACACCATCGCCTGACAAGAGCTAAAGTTTGGGCGCACAGATATTCGAATGTCAAATTCACCGACAATCATCCACCATTCATAATATAAAGGATGGTCAAAGGTGACCAAGTGAAACAGGCCTTCTAACCAGTACTAAAGGCAGATCACTAGCAGCTTTGTAACCCTCATCTTAAATGTCCATGACCCTGAAGTCTTTCAGCCCAGGCATCAAATTGACACAGCCGTAGCACCTAACATAGAAACAATCAAATCAACGGAACTCCCCACCCTATCCTACCTAAACAAATGACTAGAGATGTCATACACGTAACAGGGAAGAGAAGACATTCTTCGAAGGTTATAATTAATGAGAAATCAGAATTTATCATAGCTTCAACCATTTTATAGAATATGGTAACTTCATAAGCGAAAATGAAGGAGACACGTTGCCCAGTTGATGACAGAAAGCTCTTTCCTTACTCAATATAAAAGCTCTAAAACTTCAGAAGAACTCCATGATTCTCCCCATGATTCACATGCAGGGGAAAGAACTAAGCCAACAAAAAGTGTATAATTGCAGCACTCGATGGAAATGATACTCCCCATGATTCACAGGCAGCGGAAAGAACTAACATCACCATATAGAAAACCATTCTACTTAATTTCATGATAAACCTAAATAAACTTCGCAGTGGATCTAAATCGATATGCCAAACACTTTATTCGTCCCCTTTCCTCCAGCCAAACATCAACATCATATGAGTTCAGATCATTAGGTAATGCTACGAAGCTACAGCTACGTCATAAAGACCAACAAAAGCAAATTCAACGAAGGAAGAATAGAAAGATCGAAACTTCAGAACATACTACATGAGTCATCTAACTATTCGGGATACGAGATGGGTGGAAGGAGTATGGAAACTGAACATAAACCTAAAGATCAATACAGATGGCAATTGAGTTGCCACACAAGATCTCCTCACGGTAAACAACAAAAGCAAAGCTTTTAAGTGATACAAAGTCCAAGCACACAAACTTACAAACAAACATATCCAACACATATCACACCTGCCGCAAGCAACGCACTGTATCCGCCCCTGCTTTCCGTCCTCTAAGTAATTCCTCTTCTGGGCAGCATTTTCATTTACTAACTTAACAAAGTGAAGAAACGCTTTCTTTAATGCACCCTGATCAACCTCCAAATGTCTAAGGACAACGTTATCACCAGTGCTACCAGGTTGCTTAAAACCTACATTTTCATAAGCCCCCCCAAACCTCATATATTTGGAAGCTCTCAATTCGGACTCTCGTCCAGGATCCGTCAAATCATGCTTGAACGGTCCACTCGTCCCCCTAGAAAACTCACCCCTTGGAGGGAACCCGTTTGGGTTAACATTAGCATCGTGCAAAAGTTGCTTTCTTTGTCGGGCAAGGTCGTCCCTCTCCACCTCATCACCACCAAACTTCCTCTTCGCTGAACCTTCAACAGGTCCGTTACCACGCCCATCAAGCCCAATCGAATCCCAGTAATCTTGGTGCCTCCCACCACGCCCTCCATCTTGATCATCAAAGTGAGGTGGGACAGGAGGGAATCGGGCTCCGAATCGACCCGGATCAAACCCGGGACCTATTGGGGGTGGGAATAATCTTCCGGGTGGGTCAAGAGGATAATCAGGAGGGAGAGCAAAGTAGGATCTGACACTACCGTCGGCAAGAACAATCGTGCGACGCTCGAGCATGTGGAAGCCGTACGCCGGTGGAGGCGGTGGCCCCAAGTTAGAAAGATCCGGGAAGGGAAACGGAGCTCCGGGAGAGGTGGCCCGGGCGGATTCACTAGGGAGGTGTTTAGCATGAGCCGGACTAGGAGTCGGTTTGGTTTTGGGGGATGGGGCGGTGGAGGGTTTGGGATTCTTAGATTCGCCGGATTTAGGATCGGACTGCGGAGATTTCTTTTTGGGGTTGCTGGTCGATTCCCAACGGGATTTGCGGTACGACGATGAGGCCGATGGCTGCTGCTGCGGCGGCGGCGGCTTCGGAAACGAGGACTTGTTCTGAGTGTTACCTCCGGCCATCCTGGGAGAGGGGCGCAAGCACTTGCCACCGATTCTGGGTGCCTCTGCAAAACACACAGAGATAACCTCCCCCCCCCCCCAAAAAAAAAATGGTAAAGTCAATTATTATCAAATTTCCCGAAGATTCAAAAGAAGCATGGGACAGATAATTAGATATTCATGAGAATCAATCCTGTGATCCCATTTATGTACAAATTATAAGAACCAATTGACTAATTTAATGAGATTAAGAAAGTAAGTTGAGTTAGTTATTTGTCCTAGATAGGTATTGTCTTTTCTAAAATATCCTTGCTAATCAAGTATGCTGGCTATAACTACTATTGTTAGAAGAACTACTTTAGAAAAAAATACCCTCCAGTCCTTAATATAGGACCCAATTATTGTGTTGTTTTGATTCTAAATATAAGACTCATTTCTCATATTTATCAGTTTTCTCTAAATTACCCCTATGGATACTCCCTCAACCATAATCAAGTAGAAGAGGGAGATGGGGTATTAAGAAAGATGATTATAGTGTTTTAGGATAAACGTGTCATATTTCTTATAATTAACTAACTTACCTAACTTTCTTAATCTAATCAAATTAGTTAAATGGGTCTTATAGTAAGGATCAGAGGAGTATATAAATATGAGAGACAAAGTGGATTGGAGTCTTATATTTATGATCAAAATAAAAATCAAAAGGGTCTTATATTAAAGACCGGAGGTAGTATATGATAAATAAGAGATTAAAGTTATGTAATCTATGTCAATTTTACGCATTTTATTTTTTAAGATAAATTTTAATATTATTATATCTTCCATGGGAAAATATATCTGTTTTTATACATGTGAAAATAATAAATAAGAAATGGGACAATTTCCTTATAATCTAAAGATTTGCATAACTTGTCTGCCATAAAAAAAAAAAAATAAGAAGAAGAAGATCTGTATAAGTTGAATTATAATTCACAGAATGGTTCATGAAAATATGAAATAAAAGATAATTTTTGTGCCCTGTTATTTTTGGCTAGTGATATTTTTTGTGCCCTCTAAGTTAATATATATACTCACATAAAAAGTTGCTTGGTTGTTTTTTTCATTCAATAAAAGGTTATAATTGTTTTTTAAAAAAGAGAAATAAAACTTACACAAGTTTCCTTAATGAATTACTTTCCTACTTGTAAGAAAAGTATGAGACTTAACTTCTCTGAAAATTAGAACTTCCGGAAACCAAGCAAAATATATTTCACTACTTTTGAAGAAAGTCTAACTTCTTCTCCTTACTTATTCCAAATCAAGCAAAGCGTTGTAAGAATGTTGATGAAAGGTTTCTAGTTTTTTTTTTACCTTGATCTTTTGTTTTATATTATCTCTTCATTTAATTTTTCTAAGATCTCTTGAATTTGAGAATAGTTGGGATGTGACCATGAAAACATGTTTGGAAAATTGATTAATTCAAAAAAAAAAAAAAGATAAGCAAAAGTACTATTAAAAGGTCTATTGAACTTGGACTAATTTGAAGTAGAGTTGGGCACCATAGTTTTAAAAGTAATTTTTGCCCAAACCAAACACTCCCTTATCATAAATTGAATAGCTTTTTTCAAGACATTTTTTTATATTTATATATGGTAGAGCCCTAAAACTCATGTTTAACTGTCATATATGATTAACTTAATCTAGATGTTAATACATCCAAAATATGAAGAGTATCTGTTAAGATTCTTAAACCCCGATTAGTTTTCAAAAGCAAAGAATACCCTTTAATGTTATTCCTATACGAAAGGCCCAATCAATGTACCAATATCCATAAAATAAAATTCACACAAAGATAGTAAATTCTTGAGGATTAATTTTGTTTCTGTAGAACATTGAGGTAAAAAAATTGTAAAGAAATTTATCGACTTCTACAATATTTAGGAAACAACAATAATAATTTCTTGAAAAACTTTCACCCTAACTATTGCTTTCCACCATTTTGGGATCACATTTCTAGTTAAAAAAGCTTATTTCTGGCTGCTTTTATACCCAGAAGTTGCCTTTTACCTTCCTAATTGAGATCAGCTGATTCTCATTCACTAAACACTAGTTCTTTGGGGTTTTATAGAATATAATCTTCTCATGTGCCAGTCAATCACAAATATTTTAGATTACAAGGATTCGCATAAAATGTCCAGTCAAGGCCAGATGTTGTGACTTGTGATCATTTCAGCTTGACTAAATTCTTTGCACTTCTCTCCGACTAATTTCAGGAGAAAGATTTATCGAGACTCCAGACTGAACGACTCAAAATTAAATACAAGATTGAAATCCCTAATCCCATGGATGATCAGAGCTTTATTGCTGATAAATCATCTGTTCAACAGAGGCCTTGGGTATAGCAGACGAGGTGGTTCAGAGTTTGAGAATGGCACAAAGCGAAAAACTGATATTATGTACAAAAAGATTCTTCCTCCTAATATTTCACAATGTTTCAGTGACTATAGATGTTACATATGCATAATGAACTGGAAGTAACGATTATAGATTGTGGTCAGAGATAGTAGCTGACGGTGTAAAGTATTCAACAACTAACCACCAAACCATATGAATATGCACATGTACTTCGGCAAGACTTACTCTTTGGTGAAGAATTGCAATGGTGTATTTTCATCATAATATTGCTGAAACAACACTGTTGATTAGCAATCCTGTTTCAACCAAGATAATACGGTGTACTGCATTAATGCAGGATAAACAAGAAGTTCAAGGACTTCATAAAATTGAGTAAAAAAATTGAAGAAAAAGAAGATAATGAAGCTAAAGCAAAGAAAAATATTTCCTCTCAACACCAAATGTTAAAAAGGCAAAACAGACATCTCGACATCCTGTAAATCTACTAGAACCAACAAAATCTCCAGGTGGAACTGAAACAGCAAAACTTTGGGTTGCAAAGAACTTGAACGAGAACACATTTAACGCTTTTTAGAGACACCAACAGTCTTCCCCCTTCGTCCTGTGGTCTTGGTGTGCTGTCCACGAACTCGAAGACCCCAGTAGTGTCGCAGACCACGGTGGTTTCTGCATCATCAACCAATCATGTTACATTACATTACAGAAAATAAGAATGATCAGCACTACCTGGATATGGCAAGATAATCTTTTAAGCATGCTAAGATTATCTCCGTAACACATATAATAACTGACCATTAAAAAAAAAAAAGTTAAGACTAAAACATGTAGTTCACACCCTTCTTGACCATCAAAGACAACTAATTATATGTAACACCAATAAGTAAAATATTCATTAACTTTCACAACCACTACCCACATGGACTCAACCATTTGAAAAAAAAAAAAAGTAATGGCAACTTAAAACATACATGGTTAGGCCCCTCTGTACAGAGACAGGGTGAAAAGCATGTATACGCAATACATGTGTATTGTTAAGTGGTACAGAATCGAAATTGGGGAGAGCAATTGGCTAACAAGTTCAGTAGCAGATGCAAAACCTTATTTTCTTCAAACGCTCAAGATCATCCCTGAGTTTCATGTCCAATGCGTTGGAAACAACCTGAGAGTATTTACCATCCTTGTAATCCTTCTTCCTATTGAGAAACCAGTCAGGAATCTTGAATTGGCGTGGATTTGCCACAATTGTCATTAGCTGATCAAGTTCAGCAGCTGATAGTTCACCAGCCCTACAGTCAGTCATTTGAAACCAAATTCAATTAGATAAAGTAGCAGTTTCCAAATGATATAAAGGAAAAATCATGCAGTCCAAATAAATCAAAACACAAGCTGAAACAACACTGCTTGTAACACTAATGAGGGCAAAGTTTTGACTTTTGATAATTGATACAGGTTAAAAGGTGCATTATCCTTTCATAACCTTTTTTTTTTGTTTTTTTGGGGTTTTCAAGAAGTGAATGAAGCCACAAAAAACACCTAGTCCAAATCATATTTATGCCTACGGTAAAACAATAATGCCTCGCACCTGGACAGCTTTTACTTTGTACAAGCATGTCAAGCAATTTATTTTTAATGAAACAATACACAATTTTCTCAATCTAAAACCTTCAGAAATCAAGGGGCACTCATCAATTGACGCATTTAAAATATTGAAGATCACGCACATTAAAGTGAACGCATCAATTTTGTTCGTTCCAAACAAAAGTAACCTTCTTTTAGACAAAATCCAAATTAAAATTAATCAGACATCTAACAACCACAAAACAGGGATATGAAAGGAACCTTTTGTTCATATCAACGTCGGCTTTCTTGCAGACGATGTTGGCGAAGCGACGGCCAATACCTTTGATGGAAGTAAGGGCGAACATGATCTTCTGCTTACCATCCACATTTGTGTTCAGAACACGAAGAATGTGCTGAAAATCCTCGTTCGCTACAAGAGACTGCATGAACAATAACAGCAACAAAGAAAACCATCAGAAGAAGATACAAAGGACCAGAGAGAGTACTGCCAGAAGTTATAATCAAATGGGTAAGTGAGTCTGATTGAGTTGGCTCACCATGGTTAATGGTTTGTCACTCTTCTGTCCACTGTCTCTCTAGAAGCGGGAAGGGCTATGAGAAAGCCGAAACAGAGAACAAGAGAATTAAAGGTGGAGTTCTTAAAGGAACCATAGGAACCCTAGAGTGACGTGTGACGTGTCCAGGGGGGCCACAAAAGATATTAAAACAAAGTAGTGGGTAATTTTTGTAAAAATAGAAAAAAAATGGTGAAGTGATTTGGTAAATGTAAGTTTTGGCTTTTTTTTTTTTTTAATGCTTCTTTTTTTTTTTTGTATATCAGATCTTGTTTTTATATTTTCCACTAGAAGTGATAACATCCAGCCGTTAAAAAATAGTGGATTGGGTTGATAAAAATATGCCCTCTTTGAAAATGATTTTTTTCGACCCGCAACCCACCAATCCATACTTGTGACGGGCCCTATTTTTTTAACCCTTTTCTTAACAGAATATGTTAAAAAATAGACTTAAGATTAAATCCTTAATCCCAATTTGCATATCGCACCTCTTTTCTTCCCAATAAATGTTCTATTTTTTGTGCATCAGATCTTGTTTTTATATTTTACACTAGAAGCGATAATATCTAAAAAATGAGTCGGGTGATAAAAATGTGTTCCATTTGAAAATGGTTTTTTTGACCCGTAACCCACCAATCTATACCCGTGATAGGCCCTACTTTTTTCACCATTTTCTTAACATCTAAATATGTTAAAAAATAGATTTAAGATTAAATCCCTAATCCCAATTTGCATATCGCACCTCTTTCCCTCTCTAAGAACGAGCTCGATTTATGCTGTGTGTTTGCTATATGACGAAAATTTATTAAGTTTGTTATTTATAATCAATGTCTATTGATTTTTAAGGATACTCTTTATAATTATGTGCATTATAAATATCCTTAATAAAAACTCTCTTATCATATGTAATTAATATAAACACTTTGAGAAAAAATTATAGATCCAAAAAATAATGTGAATTTATATTTAGAATCAAATAAATTTTTTATTTAGTTCCCATATTTAAGACTGAAAATAATGTTTTATAGCTTCCCAATAAATGATTTGAAGGGAGTTTTCTCGTGATCAGGATTTCTGATTCCAGAATAAATGCAAGAACATAAGTTGTAAACTATGCACATTTAAGCGTCAAATTTTAGGTTGCTATTAAGTCTCTACATGACTACATCTATAAAGAAGACAAATGTTTCCAAACTTTCGAATTAAATTGCAAATTCTTTAAACTTCAGTGTCAAATTTTTTGTTCCAATCTCAGTTATTCTAGGATAACAGGATAGTTCCATCCCAAAAATTTTCAAGACCAGATAAAAATAAGATGAGACAAAACTATATTTGATGGGACAGTTGATATATTATCTTTTTTTAATTTTATAAATTTATTTTACTTATTATTTGTTACTTTCATTGTGTTGTTTACAAGTTCTTCCAAATGGCTTATATGTATTTTTTCAGTGGATATTTTGAGTTTATTCATTTTCTATTTTTGAAGATTATATAATTTTTTCCTCTAGCAATTTTCCATTACTGCTAGTTTGTGGTCAATTTTTTTATCTATTTTTCATTGGCAATTTTCATCAAGACTTTTTTCCCCTATGTACAATTAGTTTGTAAGTAAATAAGTTAAAGAAATTAGAGAGAAGGGGAAAAAAAAAAGAAGAAGAAGAACAGAACATCCGACCGCAGATGTGATGCCTCTGAGGCGGAAAGGCAGTTATCAATTATCCTAGTTCCGTCCAATCCATGAACGGCTAATGCCAATCTAATAAATCTACGACATATGGATCAAAGGTTCTAAGTTTTTTTTTTTTGGCCAGAAAATCAAAGGTTCTAAATTGGACTTTGATATTTTGTTAATCTTATTTTTTTGCCAACGGTAATTTGTTAATCTTAAAACGAAAAATGAATTGCGCTATTAATCTTAACTAATAAATCACTCCATCCATAACTCATAAATTGTTTGATTTATTATTTTTATATCGCTGTTAAAAGGAAAATCGGCATTTTTGTATCGTATGTAGATCATATTTCTCCTATTCTTAATATAAGACATTTAATTAATTTGATTAGATTAAAAAAGTTAGATAAGTTAGTTAATTATGAAAAATATGACATTTTTCTTAAAACATCATAATAATTTTTCTTAATATCTTGCCTCCATTGCTTACTTAATTATAGTTGAAGGAGTATCTATAAAAATAATTTAGAAAAAATTGCTAAATATGAATATTTAGGAACAAAATTAACTTAATAATTAGATCCTATATTAAAAACCGGAAGAGTACTTCGCATCAAGATCCTTAACAATCACAATTAACTCAACCTATTTTACAAACCCTATAGAAGTATTCCAATTAATTTGACAATAAAAATTTTTTTTTAAAATTGAAATCACTACATTTAATATGCCCATGTTGCATTATGTTTCAATCACAACACTTGCAATCGCACCACGCCATTTTTGTTTGTTGGTCAATCGCTTTCAGTCATTTTAACGTAACATGATATATCAACCGAGAGGCCAAGAAAGTAACACCAGCAAAGAAACTCACATGAAATGAAAATGGAGCCATAGTAACATTATTTGAGCTCCTCAATTGTAGTTTTTACAATGAACATTTACCCTCAGGCCAAAAATAGAGAAGACAATTAATAACCATAACCTTAATTACAGAGGAAAAAAAATGAACAAAATAAAGAACCTCACCAGTGCAGAAAATTAACCCTCCATATAAGAAGAGGTCTAGATATTCTATATGCAAGAAAAATATGCATTTTATTTACTGAACTTTGCACTGGTAATCCAATGAGGCTCCTTCCGAAAACCTATGAAATATGCCTTCCATTTTGATGCTAACTGAATACCTGTGAGTTGGGTGAAAGCCACTTGTGCACATCAAAAATTGGAGACCAAATTTCTGAATTCAGAAACAAGGCAGGCTGAATAGGCCACAAAAACCAGCTAGAAGGGGGAGGAATTAAAAACTCTATATACCCAAATTTTCCAGCTTAAAACACCTGTTGACCATGAAAAGGTAGACAAGCCAATTGAATCATATGCCACCAACCAAAACACAAACTGATCCAAGGATCATCTGCAACTGCTGATATCATGAATTTAGGGACAAAATTCAGAGATGATCACGAGCATTACGACACTCAAAAGGATATACCTTGGCCGCATCACACTTGAGTAATTACATCTGACCATGGGAACATATGCATAAATCTTGTGTCAAAAGCATTATTGTATCTCTGTGGCAGACGAGGCAAGGACAAGAGAACCATCAAACCAACTTCAATTTAGAACCTTGAAAATTTCATACTCATCCATGATGCAAGGAGAGGATGAGTTAATTTTCCCTTGAAACCTATAGAATTCGTCCCAATTATCCAGACCAAAGGCATGAAGCATAGCTTCCCTGAAAATTGATTGCATACAAGGGATCACAGCTTCGAGAGAGACTTGTGAAGATAGTAAGTATGAGCAGTAGCGAAGTAAACACACGGGCAGCTCAGCCATTCTTACTCCGAATCAGTCTCAGAACTATCACTGGATGCATTAATTCCACTTCCATAAAATTGCATTTCTTTTGAAGCAACTTCGGTGTCCACATATAAATTTCTTTCCCCTTCATACTCAGTTTCATTCTTGTCTGCATGGTTGAGTTCAGAATCTGACACATCTGTATTCTCAATGTTGTTGTTGGTAACATCCTCTTCGGACAAACTCCCTGAAGGAGCAGCTTCATGAACCTCTTGAAAATTATTCATGCCAGCCTCCCTGAAAGAAGTAGTATTATCCATCATTTGAGAATCCAACATCAGGTTCATCCCAAGCTCAGATGAATCACCATTTATAGCGGTAGGCAAATGACCTTCCCAATCAGAAACAGGTTCAACCAGGTTTTTTGTTGAATTAGGATCAGAAGTAGCAGCTCTATGAACCAAAGTACAATTTTCAGGGCCATCCGGAGCATCTGATGGATACATATCAATAGAAGTGCCATTCAGTGAATTGCCCTTACAGTTGGCAGACATACGCAAATTATCTTTCATTGATGGAGAAGCCACCGCTTTATTTTCCATCTCCGGCACATCATGACTGGTACTAGAGGGAGAAGAACATCTATCTGAAGCTGAGTCAGATAGCCTATCCTCAGAACAGGATTTGGAACATGCAATCTTGTCGGACAAAACTTGATTTATTTGATCTAATGAAGCATCACTGCATTCGTCTTTTATCTCATTAAGAGGATCCAAACCAGCATCACTGTTTCCGTCAAGATCTGGATGAGATGAGGAATTAGCCAATGACCTAGTAGCCAATTTTGGATTAGTATAAACTTTCTCTCCATGGTCCATTTTATCAGCACCTATTGGGACAGAAATAAAACTTGTCAAGAACAAAATATAGCATACTTCAATTTAAAAGAAGATAAATGTAAAACATCAATACCTGTGGAAGTTGAGTCCCCTTCGAAGTTTCCTTGCTCCACCAGCAACTTCTGCAGCATATCTACACCAGGGAAGACTAGCATATTCAATGACCTCCTTTCTTGCCTGAGTGATTCTTCAAGAGGTGTGAAGCCAAAAGTTGCCGTCCATGTTTTTGTGAGTTCAGCAATTGCTGGAATAACCATTTTCTCAACCTTCATAGAGCAGAGGGCCTTAAAATAAAGAGGAAAAGAAAGATGCATATCAGTGTTGTGAAGGATGTGTGCGAAAAAGAAAATGCCAACACAAATTCAAAGAAGACATAGAAGAATCATAGATCTTAAAGCATACTGATTCAATGGCAGAAAAAAGCCGGTGGCACATCCCTTGACGCCTATATATATGGCGAGTTCCAATAAATGGCATCTCCACCAACTTAACCCCATGGAACCTTAAAACAGCAAAGCACACAGCCCAAAGGTAAGTATATTCCATGCATTCACCAAAAAGGAAAGACATTAAATATTCATGTATCATAAACCCACCGAGCAGGAGAACACTGATTATGCAGGAAACCCAACGTAAGCAGAATTTAACAATAGAAAGAAGTGAAAACATACAAGTATTGTTGTGGTATACCGGCAGATATAAAAACCACTGAATATCGAAAATATTAGATCAGATGGCTGAATGGTCTGCCATCATTACTACCCAAAAAAAAAAAAAAATTGTGTAACAGTGACATTTCAATTTAATCATAATTTTTCAATAAACTGATAGAAAATTATTTCACAATGATCTTATGATACATGAATGTATTCCTTCACGCGAACAACACAAAATCCAATAAAATAAGAAACCAAACCATGACCTTTATTTTCTAGCTAAATGAGTAAACTGAAAAAGTCTGGGGCACCTGATAGATGCTGCAGAAATTATTTCATCGCCCCTCTCCAGAATAGCCGTGTAAAAGCCACTATAATTCAACCTACTAAAGTTTGATCTGGAAAAAAAAAAAAAAAAGAGCAATAAAGGAATCGGCAAAATCGTGAAACATAGTAAAGGTACAGTCGGGATGTTCATATAGCAATTAAATGAAAAAAAGAAGAAAACCTAAATTACATGACAATAAATACGGGATCTTCATGTGGAAGTGCAGAAAGTTCCGTCATACAATTTTCACAAAACAATCCAGCTTACTAGAGGTCTCAACATCAGATGGTGACAGAATAGGGTATTTTTGTGGCTAAAACTAGATTATGTTACCGAGAGAGAATAAAGGCATGGCCTACCTCCCATTAGCACAACAACAAAAAAATTCATGGCGGGCAATGCCATAACCAATTTCAAAATTCAGCAACTTTAAAAAGAAAAAAAAAAGTTTGTAAAATCATTTGTGAACTAAGAAATACGTTGTCCTCCAACTTAAACAGAATTGTCAACTCCAAAGATTTAGGCATATAATATTAAAAGATAAAATAGCTAGTATTTATCGAATTGCTACTTTAGGGATGCTCAAAGTTATAACATTAAATTAGAGCCAAGAGGGAATTCATTATTATTGAAAAGAGTTATCTCAATGCATAAAAATATAGTGCTCATAAATAATGTTCTCTGCTAGTGCTTACCCACTATTATATAGAACGTTATGAATTACATTGATGCCACTCCTCCGGTCAACAATGGGTAAAAAGCACTCATCCATCACAGTCAATGCAACTGCTAGCTTGGAGTTGCATTCCGCCCTTTGAAAAATTCCTCTACCAGCAGCCTCTGAGTCTTCATCTGCCCTATGAATAAGAGACCATGAAAAGCCTGCCTCTAGCTCATGCTTGGAACCTAGGTACTTCTTCAAGTGCTCAAAAAGCTGTAGAAGAATAAAAATATAAGTATATTTCAACATCATGCTCTGTGCTACATTGCCTACTGCTCTTCTCCTTCATAAGTCAGATTCTGTATAACGCAATATAATAGAGAAGTCCACAGAACAAACAACTCTGCTACCGTCTAAAACATGTACGCAAACTGGTACTCTTCCTTGTCAGCAAATCATTAAAAGCTAAGCTTAAAATAAACACGACCTCCCACTTGGTAACATTTCGTACAACCATGATCAACTCAATGTACATCTCACACATACATTCTTCCTTCTTAATAAAGGGTGTCAAGACTCAATCTAAATCTTAAGATCTTACCGTCCCAAATAATCCAAGCGATCCTGTTCCTAAGTATAATCCAAATATTCCAGGATTTCAAAAGAATCTCAATTTAAATCTTAAGGTCTTGTGATCTCTGTACCCCCATGACATTTTTTAATTTTGTGGAATTTTTTTCTGGCAAGGTTTTGAACCTCTCACACTGACTACTATGGAAGGAAAATCATCAAAGTAAACTAAGTCCAATATTTCCAGCCTTCACATCTCTGATTTGTTCAAAATTCTAATATTAAAGGCTGACTCTGCAGTAACAAATCATAGCATCAGATGTCTTTGTCCTGAAGAGAGATTCTAGCTGCAGCAAGCAGTATTCTGGTGGGAAAAATTATGTACGTTTTGTTACCGTGTTCACAAATAAAAACAAAACAAGTGGATCATTTAACAACTCAACAACACATAAGGGGGTCCTTCAAATAATTTTTTTACAAACTTCATTGTGTAAACTGAAAGCAAAGATACTAATACCTGATTCTAGTCCACTGCTTTTACCAATAGTGCATTTTTCCCCGCCTTTTTTGGGTTTTTTTTTTTGGGGGGGGGTTATTATTGCAAGGCGTAACCCATACAAAGGAAAGTCATAATTTAAACTCAACGATTGTCCTTTCCCTGTGCGCACACACATACAAAATATATATGCACTCATGTATAAAAAATACAAGTGTCTGCGTGTGTGTCATGCTATATAGAATGTAAATATGAGAGGTACCTCTTTGCACTCTTTTCCACAAAAACAAAAGCCTGGCGTATTGGCATTGGGGTTGATAGAAACAGCATCCATGTCCTTAGCGCAAGATTCATGGTCTAAGCAAAATAGTAATTATATTAAACTAGGCATATATGAGCAAGTTAATTGAGCTTCAAATTTAAACAAGACAAAGTACATACATTTCCTCTCACATAAGTTGCAAGTGACAAGAGCATATCTAGTAGCACCATCTCCATTTTTAACAATCCCATTGGCTGTTCCACAAAATTTGCAGGTGCACTTTGGACAATGCCACTCACCAAGAGGAAGCATCTGCAACAAAGTAATTGTTAGCACATATAGCATTCAACAAGTGAACACCGTCATCACCCATCAGCAATAAAATAGTTTACTTTTCTTATACGTGTTTGTTAGTTACTGGTACATCAATCTAGCAACAAAGGTAATTAAACATACAATGTATATAAATAACCAATTAAAACATTTAATGTATATACCAACGAAGCTACAGGCTCTAGCTCCACAAGCAGATATCATGTGTCTATCCATCAAGATACGGTCACAAGCACAGATCTAGTTTCAGTATGCATCAAGACAAATCTTTCATTCAATGTGTAAGAAAACCAAATAGCAAGCATTGACAAGTTCGCTCTTAAAGCACTGAATCTCAGCACATTGACAAGGACTCAGCTCAAGCAAAATAGAATGAAAGTAACATTTCATCTCTTCCCAAAAGAAAGGGACAAACAAACATCACCAAGGGAAGCATATATTTCAATACGCTAAAGTGCAACAAGAAAAACGGAACAACCAAACTATAATCCATAGCAAATATTAATGATATGGGAAGTAACAAGAGGTGTCGCATGGCCCATAAAATATGCAGATATACCCGTATATTCAAGCAGCTTTGATGAAATGTTGATGGGCAACCATCACAACAGATTAAATCCCCTCCATCTCCACAAATACCGCAAGTGTCATCGTTTGGATCATTGCCATCAACATCAACTGAATGAAAACTAATTTTCTCTGAATTCTCCTGTCTCCACCACGCATCTATTTGGCACTGTAGAAGTGACACTCCTGAGTCCAAATATATGTTTTGAAATGGCTGGCGCAATTTGCTACCTGCATGAATCTCAAACTTGTAAACTGTAAGGATTTTGCTGCAACATCCACAATGAATGCCATCTCTTGTGATCCATCCCTCCAGCATTACTCGCTTTCGTTTGCGGTACTGAACCTTTTGGCTCAACTGAACAGTCCCAGAGTCAATCAACCAGGAAAGCACCGTTCTTTTGCCTGTATATGGAACAAAGCCATCAGATTCTGAATTCGCACCCTTATTAGAACCACGGATTAACAAAGTACATCTTCCATGTTTTCTACTTTTCCTCCCATGTGGCTGATGAGGATCACATCCAGACAAAGAATTTTCAGTTCCATCATGTAAATGAGGGGTTGATTTCTGGGATTTAAAACTAACACAGGCAGCATTTTCAAATGTCTTATTTTTCATTGAATTACTTCCCCGCTTCATAAAAGAGCTTAATTTCTCTCCATTGCTATCACTATCCATGCTATGCATATCATGCCTGAAGTTGGCAGATCTTTTAAGGTTGGGTTCCATTTCACTATCACTCTCACTACCATCTCTTTGCTTCTTCTTCAATTCTTTTTCCATCTTTTTCCGAGTTTTCCTTGTCAATTGACTCAGCACTTCGTTTGAGATATGAGCAAAGGAAGAACCATCAACCACGGGCTTGGCCTCATTATCATCACCATTCAATTGCTTTTGAAGAGCATCATATGCTTTGATTATTGACCAGTAGGCTGTACCCCCTGGATTGATGTAGACTGCATCTAGATAGTCTCTGTTCCTTCGAGGCCGATAATCTATAGTCCAACCTGCACTCAGCAGCATCTCCCTTATTTTTTCTCGAAGCTTCTGTTTTTCTGTACCACTCCCACGCCTTACTTTTCCTTCTTTTCCTTCTTTCATTATTGTAGTTGGGACCTTCTCACGTAAAGGAGTCTTTTCATCCTCAGAACCTGTTCTCTTCACAGACTTGAAGGGTTTAGTATTTTCTAGTGCTGGATTCAATGGTCTGTCAGTGTCCTCAGTGTCCGAATCACATCCCTTGCTGTCCTTAACTGACAAAAATTTTCTTGATGCCATCCGTTTTTTCTCAGGCCTAACAACTAAACCTGGCTTCTCAATGACTTTTGTTTCTGAGTATGATGAATGGACTGGAATTTTCCGCTGCATAGGGGCCTCAATCTGCAGATTCTGCTGTCTGTCTTCTATAGGTTTGATGTGATTATAGTAGTCTGATGGGCCACCCACCTTATTCCTATTAATCATAACCTTTAGAACACCATTTTTCCCCTGAACCCTGATGGTTTCGTTTGATTTAAACTTGTCTCTCAGCAAGGGTAGACGTAGGTGAGCATCATCCCTATTCACATGGAACCTGCTGGAGTCAACATTATCTCCCACACACAATCCACTTTGCCCATCATAGTAGGAGTTGTTTCTGTTACCAAGATTGTGTCTGCTAGATCCTGTTTCAAATTTACTCTCAAAGCCACTTTTTGTGGCATGCATTGGTCCCATAAGCCTTCGTCCCCCAAAACCAACTCCATCATTGTCATAAAAAACCCTCCTTTTCATCTTTTCCACGCCCATACCGTCATGTTCATCAAAATCAAACGCTTCTATTTTAGTTTTCTTTCTTTCCCTCTGCCCCAAACCATTCCTCTCAATCATAGCATCCTCATTATGCCTGATTTGCATCATTCTGTCCCTGTTTCTACCAATTTCATTGCCTTCCACTATACCACGCTCTGAAGCAGTCAATCCATTAAAGGCTCGAAAAGTCTCAGGACCAATCCTTCCAGTTGGTGGCACCAGCAACTCATCGCTTGATTCTGAATCACTCAGAGCCATACTAGGCCGTTTTCTAACATTTGATTCGTACAACTTCCGAGAGCTGCTTGAAGAACGATATCCACCACCCAACCCATCACCCTTCTTTCTAACAATTAAACATCCCGAGGAGTTCCTGCTCTTCACCACAACCCCGGAAGGACCAGCTGATCTCATGCCCGCTTCCATCTACATGAAAAACCAAAACCAAAACCAAAACCAAAACCCCCTTAAATCTTATAAACCTCCCGCATAAACTATATCCCAAAAAATTCACCGAGAGAACCAAGTACAAAACCCTAAATCACCGTCTACATAAATTCCTCTGCATACACTAACAGATCTAAAGCAAAACAATCCAAATGCCGCAAAGCCTTCCCCTTGCTAGAAACCACAGACGTGACCAAAACGGCAAAGCAAAAGAATTGTCAAAGAATCTTACCTCGCCCCCGTAAAATTCACTGAATTCCCTCAGTTGAGGAGAAAAAAATTCTTCCTCCAAGAAACAATTCCCCGACGAAAATTAAACTGATCGGAGAGCGACGATCAAAGAGAAAGAGAGGGGGGAGATTTCTGGGTTTGGAATTACAGAGCCCTTTATAAATACCCAACCATTACTCTCTCTCTCTCTCTCTCTCTCTCTGTTTCTTTCACAAGTTATTTCCCTTTTTTCTCCCTTTTCCAGTTTACGTTTCCGTTTCCATGTCCAATTCCAAGTTGTGTATTTTCCAGAATACGTACAATATGTTTTCGCTCACTTTTTCCCTCCAAATCCTAGGTTCATCGCCCACTGGGATAATCTGGACGTTGACGATTTCGCCACGTCATGAGAGCATGACGTATGGCTCTTTGAGGGTGACGTGGCAGAATCGGACGGTTCAGGACTACACCAGTGGCTGTTTATACAGTTTGACCTCACTGTTTATCCAGTTTGAAGATTTGGGAAATACGAGGAATGGCTTGCACGTGTGAGGTCGGCGCGCGCCCGCGCGCGCGAGGCAGAACGGATCTGATCTGGCCAGTCGGGTCGGTAATGGGTAATTGGGTTTTAGCGGGAAGTTATGGGCTTGAAGATCGCCGTAGAAGGCTTTATGATCCATGGATATTTAATGTCTTCCCTTTTTGGTAAAAAAATTAAGGTTTCTGGTTTCTCGGACGTTGTTTGGTGTTTGCTCGGATTGGTGCTGTTACTATTTGGTCTAGAAGAAGAGTTAGTCTCTTACAATTTGATAAATTAAAGTTTAAATTTTTTCTGAAAAAAACATTTACGTTTAGTATTCTACAGTGTCTTAAACAAAATTACCTTCAATAAAAATATACTCCTCCAGTTCTTAATATAAGACCTATTTAACTAATTTGATTAGATTAAGGAAGTTAGGTAAGTTAGTTAATTATAAAAAATATGACACGTTTTTCCTAAAATACCATAATCATATTTCTTAACACCTCATCTCCCTCTTCTACTTGATTATGGTTAAGAAAGTATCTATAGAAATAATTTAAAAAAAATTAATAAATTAAAAAATAAGTCTTATATTTAAAACTAAAACCAATTTAATAATTGAGTGGAGGAGTATATTAAAAAAGGATTGGGTTGTTGTTTTTTTTTTTTTTGGTCAACAGCAAACTGATTCAATGTCATCGTCCTCCATCACATGGGGAGAAGGTTCTACGCTTGAGCTTGAGCTTGGTGTTGCCATGTTTGTATACATGGGCTTACTTAAAAACACATGTTGAATCCTTTGATCCAATTGATTTTTTTTATTTATATTTATAATTACTAAATGGTAAAGTGGCTTCTAAGTTGGGAGAGTACGGCAACTCTAGATTGTTAAATTGAATTTGATGATTTAGATTTAATAGCTCTTAAAGGGACAAATTTATCTATTTATACCATTTAAATTTGATTTAAACTATCTGTAGATACACGTTATAGAGAGAACATTATGACTAAAAAGCTAAAACTTATTTAGAAGAATAATAGAAAAGTAAATTTATATACAAAATAACTGAAAAGCATATAAATTTTATTTAGTTAATTATAATGTGACAATCATAAAAAAAGTGAAAATAAAATTATCTTAATTAAATATATTTGATGGATAAAAAGGTGTATAAACTAGAAATCATATAAATGTAAAAAATTTTAACTAAATGATATTAAATTATATTATATAACAATAAAATAAAAAAAATCTAAACATCGAGTAAATAAATGAAAAAATGGCATGCTGCTTTTTTTTAAATTTTACTTCCGGTGTTTACTTTTTTTTTTGGATAATTTATGTTCAGTATTTATTAAAAAAATATTATCCTGAACTTATTGTTCAACTTTTATAACGTGTGAATACTAAAAAAAAAAAAAAGTCAATATCCAACGTTTTTTAATCTTCTCTTTCTTCTCATTCATGGCTTCATACCTCACTACAAAATCACAAAAAACTAGAGGTGTGTTTAGATTAATAGTAATAAAAGTAACTTTTATTTTGTTTGACTTTTGCAAGCATAAGTTAGTTAGTTAGTATAATGTGCTATATGTTTAGATTAATTTTTTATAAAATTCAGTTTGCTAAACTAAAATTTGTTTGGATAGATAATAAAAAGATAAATTTAGATGTAAAATAACTGAAAATAGCATAAATTTTAAAATGACTCATAAACAAATATCTAATTTAATAATACACATAAACATTTTAGAGAGGTCATATAATTTATTTAACTTTCTTAATCTGTTCATATGCATACAATTTGATAAAATTTAGAAAAATAATAAATTAACAATTTATTAAATTTTATTAGTTAATTTTTTCTTTTTAGGAAAAAAAATCAAATTATTGGGTTAAAATAAGGCCCATTTAAGTACCTTTATCTTTCTTTTTGTATTCATTGCTTTCTCTCTCCACGTTGGCAGTGGAAGAAACTCAAATTTTTAGCTTTTCGTTCAACGTGGCTTTTTCCCACAAGTTCATTTACTTCCATTTTGAATCGAAATATCATTTTTCTTGCAAATCACATAATAAGCACGATATACACTTTCCAAAACATATTTAAGAGGCTCAAAGGGCGCTCCAAACATGCTCTATTTTTAACTCAAAAGCTCATCAAACTTAAAAAAATTCATCACAAAAAAAGTTAATCCATGTAATTTCAAAATTCAAAAATAGCTTCTCTCTTACTGTTCAACTTCTATGAATTGAAGTGTGAATTTTTTTTTTTTTTAAAAAAAGCCAATGTCCAATGTCTTCCATCTTCCCTTTCTTCTCTCTTTCCCTCACACACCGCGCACCATGTCTCACCACAAAAGCAAAAAAAACTAGCTTCAACTCAAAAGCTCATCACACCCAAGAAATCCATCACAAAAAAAATCAATCCAAAGAATTTCAAAATCCAAAAAATAGCTTTTGGTGGTTGAGATGTATATTTAGGCTATAAAACGCAATCCCAAATACTCCTCCGGTCCTAATTATAAGACCCAATTGACTTATTTGAGGAGATTAAGGAAGTAAGTTAAGTTGGTTATTTATAATAAATAAGTGTTGTTATTCCTAAAATATCCTTGCTAATTAAGTATATTGGCTAAAACTATCATTATTAGAAGGATTATCTTAGAAAAAATACATAAATATAAGAGAGAAAATGGATTGGGTCTTATAATTAGGACCAAATAAAAAGTCAAATTGGGTCTTATAATAAGGACCGGAGGAGTACAACCCGAGTCATATCAAATATAAATATGCATAATTGGATTTAGGGTTTCTAAGACTTTATACATCCTCTAATCATCCCAAAATAATTTTATGTTGATTGACATATTGAAGAATATTATGGTAGCTCGCTAGATTTACTTACACTCAAAATAAAAAATTTTCAGAATTAAAATTTTCTATTGATATTGTTTATCAAAAAGTTACAATATTTACAAGTTATAAATAATGTATCATACTTTAATAAATTCATTTAAAATACAAACTTACAGTCTATTCTTAAAAACACCAACAGCATAATCACTTGGGGTTTTTTGTTGGCCTGAATATGAGGTTCCATTGGTTGTATTAAATTATTATGCATCCTCACGTTTTTACCCCTTCTTAATTAAATTAAAAATTCCATTTACCTTTCGTTGACATTAAAACTTACGTTAAAAAATAATTTAAGATGTAGGTTCAACTTTCACTGTCAATATAAGAATCTCATTAATAAGCAATGTGTAGGTAATTCTATAAATATTTTACCCTAATGTTGATGAGCTTTCAATACCCAGAACACACACACCCCCCATTACAGCTATTTAAAGTTGGGGAAAAAAAAAAAAAACAACGAAAAGGAAAACTTTGCTGCTGCTTCTTCGCAACAAATTTCAGTTTTCCTCATTGACATCAAATAACTTAATTACAGAGAAAAGATGAGCAAAATCAAAACCTCAAAAATGTCATTGGGCAATGGCATTGACACCATCTTACATGCTTCCCGCGTAATACAAGGGACCCATACTAGTTCTTGACGTGGGCCACAAAACTGGGCAGAAGCTGTGGAATTAAACTATAAATAGCCATTTTTCTTGTTTTTTTTTTTTTGTCAATTATCCATCAAAATGGATAATGACACATGAAACCAAGTACTTGAAGAATCACGTATAGCAGCCGCGGAATCAATCTTCTGCGTAAAGCATTATTGAATCTTTCTGGCAGAAGAAACAAGGACAAGAAATCAACTTGATTTAGGTCCTTAAAAAATTCATGCTTATCCATGATGCAAGGGACCCGTCAGTACTTCCCTTGAAAATAATAGGGTTTATTCATACCATCCAGACCACATCATGAAGCATCATAACGCCAAAGCCTTGAAAAATTGATTGCATAAAAGGCATTGCAGCTTTGATAAAAGACTACATGAGTAGAGCAGTGTGAGCAGTTGAGAAGCAAGCGCATTGGCCGTAATAGACACGGCAATTCTCTTACTCTTGATCAGTCTCAGAACTATCATTGAATGCAAGGATGCCATTTTCATCAGAAAGCATATTTTTTGAAGCAACTTCCGTGCCTACGTGTAAATTTCTTTCTTGGCACACAGTTTCACTATTCAAACCTGAACTGATTTGCAAGGAACTCTCATCAGCCTGATTGACTATAGAATCAGACATATCAGCATTTTCATAGCTCCGTGTGGTAATATTTTCTTCAGAGAACCCACCTGAAGGAACAGCCTTAGGAACCTCAAGAGCATTATTCACGCCAACCCCTCCAGATGACACCATATTATCCACCACTGGATTCATCTCGTTCCCAGATGAATCACCATTTACAGCAATGGGCAAGTGACTTCTCTCGTCAGAAACAGGCTCAACCAGGTCTTCTGTCAAGTTAGGATCAGAGGGTGCAGTTGCGGGAACCAAAGTGCAATTTTCAGGGCAATCCGGAGCATCTGATCTGTGTACGTCAATGGAATAATCATTCAGAGAAATGACCTGACTTTTGCCAGATGTATTCAAATTATCTTTCACAGGTTTTTCCACCTCCAGTGCAACATGATTTGTACTAGAAGGAGAAGAACATTTATCTGAAGCCGAGTCAGATAGCCTATCCTCAGAATGAGATTTGGAGCACGAAGTCCTGGCAGATAAAACCTGATCTTTCATCTCTTGAGAAGCATCAATGCATTCATCATTTATCTCATTGGCAGGACTTGAACCAGCATTATCACCTCCATCAAGGTCTTGTTGATTTGAGGAATCATCTGACCCATCAGCCAATTTTGGCTTAATACTAACTTCGTCTCCATTTTCCATCTTCTCAACACCTATCATAATAAAATCATAAAACTTATGCAAGGGGCAAAAATAATTTGCAATAAAATAAAATAAACAAAACAGAAGACCAAAACCTGTAGTTTTCCCCTCATAGTTTCCTTTCTCTACTAGCGCCTTCTGTAGCATATTTATACCAGGGAACACTAGAATATTCAAAAAACGCAGCTCTTGCCTCAGGGATTCCTTAAGATGTGTGAAGCCAAAATTCGTTGTCCATGTTTGCATGAGTTCAGCAATAGCTGGAATAATCATTATCTCAACCTTCATAGAGCGGAGGGCCTTCCAAGAGGGAAGAAGAGGGGAAAAGAAAAATGCATGTCAAAATTTTGAAAGATAAATGCAACAAAGAAAATACCTGCCAAAGTTTATGCAGACAATCAATGCAAAGAAAATCACAAAAAACCAGTTTAAAGTACCGATTCAATAGCAGAAAAAAGCCGCCGGCACATGCCCTGACGCCTATATATATGGCGAGTTCCAATAAACGGCATCTCCACAAGCCTAGTCCCATGGAACCTAAAAACAGTAAAGTACACATCCTACAAATAAGTGCATTCCCTTTGTTCACACAAAAGAAAAGCATAAGTATTAATACAATTCACAAGATGACCCCTAATAGAGGCACCTTGATTATTCCAGAATCTAAGTAAGAATATATTAAAAATTTATAGAAGAGAAAACATATCGACACTGAGTCCTGCCAGAAAAATCCACGCTGCTCAACATAAAAGTTACAAATATGATATCAAACAACTAAATAGTCTGCAAGCATTATTACTAGCTTGCTTAAAAGTACTTTGTAACAGTGACCGCTTTTATTTAAAAATATTCTATTTACAGGGTTCAACTAGCATAGGAGGTGAGATTTAGACAAGTCAGAAACAGAAGGTGTGAGTTTAGGGACATTGCATGGCAAAGATGGACTTAATGCATCGAAGTTGCTGGAACTTGTGGGCATGAGGCAGAAGATCAGAGTGTTTCATGTCTGGCATAAGGCAAATCGTTATGCAGATAGCTTAGTAAAGTTTAGTCAATTATCTAATTCTTTAGGCATCTATTCTTGTCCCAGTATTCTGACGAGGGTTATATCTGTGTATGTAGACGACTTTATGGAAACTCAGGTTCCTTTGTTTTGTACATGGTGGCCTTTGGGCCCCCTTTTTAGCTTTTACCACGCAAAAAAAAAAAAAAAAAAAGGTTCTTAAATAAACTTCTGATATATCTTTCAAATCAAGGATCACTTTACAGAACATAAATGCATTCCTCCATACTAACAAAACACAAATCCAACGAAAATGGGGAACAAGATCATGGCCTTCTTTATCTATTCAGCTAAATAAGCAGAGCTAAATCATCCTCCTTGAAGAAAGGTGAAGAAATAAGGCAAAAACACGCCTAGTGGCTGCCCATATCTCATAATATGCATATTCATTAGAAGCATCAATTAATACCACACATTTCTTAGCAATATAGTGCAGAATGAGGGGTCTTTCAATCTATGAAGCTTCCTTCCTTACAAGTATAGTAATATTATCCAAGCCAGTCTAACCAAGAAATATCAGAAACATGCATGGAATCAATTGACTTATCCTTTCTAAAGGTTTTATTTTTGCCTCTCAACCAGAGAAAAAGCTATGTTGAATGAGTTAGCAAGGCTCCTATGGAGATTTCCAGAAGAGGGAAAATGGAAAAGAGGTATGAGGTAGAGTACCTGATAGATGCTGCAGAAATTATTTCATCACCCCTCTCCAAAATAGCAGTATAAAAACCACTATAATTCAACCTACTGAAGTTTGACCTGAAAACGAAAGGTAAAGAAATCAGCAACTCCATGAAACATCTTAAAGGGAGGAAACAAGGCATGTTCTCATGGCAATTAATGGTACATAAATTCCAGATAACCATTGCAATTAAAAAATTATTCAATGGATCATTTCCTGAGTGCTTCCAGTCACACTTAGTCACCAATAACAGTCTGGACTCCGGAGCGAAAGGGAGTTAGTCACACAAAAATACAAAGGCAAGCGGTAAATGTTGAATAAAATACTCCTCCAGTCCTTAATGGAAGACCTAAATGACTAATTTGAGTAGATTAAGGATGTTAGAAATTAGTTAATATGATATGTTTTTTCTAAAACACCTTAAGTATCTTTTAATTTCCTCCCTTCCTCTCCTACCTGATTATTGTTAGGGAATATTAACAGGATTAATTTGAAAAAAAAATTGGTAAACATATAAAAGAGGTCCTACGTATAAAACCAACATCAACTCCCTAATTAGGTCCTACATTAAAGACCAGAGAAGTAACAAACAGCAACTAATCCATAAGACGCATAACTACTTAAGTATTTTACACAAAAGTAGAAAGCCTTGAAGTATGTAGGAGAAATATATGATATCCCCTTGTGAAAGCTTATAGGGGGTTAGTGTCATCATACGATTCTTGAAGACAGATTAAACATATTTTTGCAAACCTAATAACAGGTAATTCAGCAATCCAGATCTTAAACCAGACATCCTTTACTAGTATGGAAAGGGTCGTAATATGCTTCACAGGTCAAGAGTATACTTTCTGTGGCAAAAATACATTGTAATGCAGATAGAGAATAAAGACACGATCTACTGTTTGGTCAGAGGCAAGAAAATGACTTTGCACTTTAATATTTGAATCTGTTGTTCTCTAGAGAACATTATCACAATACAGATGCTGTAAGCAATTTTAAAATTGAGTAACTTGAACCAAACTTGAAAATTAAGCATATCATGTTAGAAGGTAAATGGTCAAACATAATATTTATCAAATAGCAACTTTAGAGACGTTAAAACTATGACATTTAATCAGAGGTAAGTATTCATTCTTTATAATAGGAGGTTTTCATCCATCAAAGAAGATATTGCTCATCCATATTTTTCCCCAACTACTTACCCACTATTATATAAAACATTATGAATTAAATTGATCCCACTTCTCCGGTCAATAACGGGCAAAAAGCATTCATCCATGATAGTCATTGCAACAGCCAGCTTGGAGTTGCATTCCACCCTTTGAAAAAATCCTCTATTAGCTGCCTCTGTGTCATCATCTGTTCGGTGAATAAGAGACCATGAAAATCCTGCCTCTAGCTCATGCTTGGTACCTAGGTACTTCTTCAAATGCCCGAAAAGCTGTAAAAGCATAAAAGGTATATTTCAAGATCATGCTCTTGTGCAATGTTTATTTCTCTTTTCCTTTTTCCTTCACTAGGCAAATTTCTTGTAACACAATGTATACCAAACCATACCCTGTCTCATAATCAAATTCAGAGATAAACATTCAAAAGAATAAAAAAAAGAGAAAATTTCCCATTTTTTGTAAATTAGATACACTCAATGTATACCAATTAGCAAAAGCTTCTCGATCACTGATTTACCAACATATAATTAGATTTGGATTAAATAGGAAAATATTCTGGGTTAGAAGAACAACTGTTTCATAAATCTAATGTGCTTATTGAATCCCTTTTGCTTCTTGATCCTGTCATTTATCAAAAAATAAGAAAAGGAGAGTTTGGAAACAACCTACTCCAGGGGTCTACACCTGTAAAATCTATTCCATTTCCTTACTTAATACTCCAACTAGACAAGTCTTTCTTCTCGAGAAATTCATTTGGAAATCTAAAGCTAATAGAAGATAATTTTTCAGACAAGAAGGTTCAATTAAAGATCTAATCCCTATGTTGACATCACATTAAACATACAAAAATTAAATTTGAGAGCGTAAGCATTCCCAAAATACAAACAAAGTTCATGCGGCATAGATCGGTATTTTGATCAGCAAAATTAAAATTTCTATACTTTCCGGAGAAGGAAAAGAAAACTAAGGTACTGTATTCAAATCTTTGCTGGCAATGTTTCCATTGAAAAGTCGTCTTTTTTTGCTGGTTCAACAATACATGAGTAAGTTTTCAAATATTTTTTCACTCATGCCATGCTTTTGCTGGAGCAGTTGAAAACAAAGATACAAAGAAATATATCCACAGTATCTTCAAACAAAGGGAAAAAAAGAAAAGAGAGAACGAAAGAAAAAAAGAAATTAGAGGAAAAATGCCATGCTCCTGTGACTCAACCCATGTAAAAGAAAACCATCCCATCATTAAAACTCAAGCATTGCCTACGCACTCACTCACACACAGAGCAACTGTAAACTGTTGAGAGCCAAAATGTAAAATATAAGAGGTACCTGCTTGCAGTCTTTTCCACAAAAAGAAAAGCCCGATATATTGGAGTTAATAGAAAGGGCATCCATCTTGTCAGCACAATATTCATGGTCTGGGCAAATAGTAAAAATATATTAAAACAGGATATATGAGCAAATTGAAAGAGCTTCAAATTTGTACAGGACAAAGTAAGTACATTTTTTCTCACACAAGTTGCAGGTAAGTAGAGCACCTCCTTTTTTAACAGTCCCACTGGCAATTCCACAAAATTTGCAGGTGCAATTCAGACAATTCCATTCACCAGGAGGAAGCATCTACAGAAAATCAATCGTCAGGAAAAATAGTATTCTATGAGTCAATAAAACCACCGTCTATAACAAAGTAGTGAACTTTTCTTATTCTGGTTTGGAAACAGGTACATTAATTCAATGAGAAAACTCATTGAACCAACCACGTAAATATCAAAGAAGCTGCAGTGCTCCACATGCAAGATATCATGGATCATCACATACAGTTACTAGGAACAATAACCTGTGTAAATAAACGGGAAAAAGCAAAAAGATGTCAGTGGTTAATAAAATATCTAGACACACCTGAATACCCAAGCAGCTCTGGTGAAATGTTGACGGACAACCATCGCAACAGATTAAGGCCCCACCATCTCCACATATACCGCAAGTGTCATCGTTTGGATCATCACCATCAATATCCACAGAATGATAACTAATTTTCTCCGAATTCTCCTGTCTATTCCATGCGTCTATTTGACACTGTAGAAGAGAAACTCCTGAATCCAAATATATGTTTTGAAATGGCTGGCGCAATTTGCTACCTGCATGAATCTCAAACTTGGAAATTGAGAGGATTTTACTGCAGCAGGCACAATGAATTCCATCACTTGCAATCCATCCCTCAAGTAGCAGTCGTTTTCGTCTCTGATACTGAACCTTTTGCCTCAATGCAACTGTCCCAGAGTCAATCAACCAGGAAAGCACTGTTCTTTTGCCAGTATATGGAACAAAACCACCAGATTCTGAATTCAATCCCTTGCTAGAACTCCGAACTAACAAAGTACATCTTCCATGTTTTCTACTTTTCCTCCCATGTGACAGATAAGGATCACATTCGGACAATGAATTGTCAGTTTCATCATGCATGCGACGGGTATATTTCTGGGATTTAAAGCTAGCACTGGCACAAACATTATTTGTCGCCTTATTTTTCATTGACTTATTTCCCTGCTTTATAAAAGAGCTTAATTTCTCTTCATCGCTATCACTATCCATGCTAATCATATCATGCTTGTCACTCGCAGATCTTTTATGATTGGGTTCTTTTACACTATCACTCTCACTCTCACTACCATCAATTTTCTTCTTCTTCAATTCTTTCTCCATCTTTTTCCGCGTTTTCCTTGTTAATTGACTCAACACCTTATCTGAGATGTGAGCAAAGGGAGAACCATCACCTGTGGGCTTGGCCTCATTATCATCATCATTCAATTGCTTTTGAAGAGCATCATAGGCTTTGATGATAGACCAATAGGCTGTACCCCCTGGATTAATGTAAACTGCATCCAGATAGTCTCTATTCCTTCGCGGTCGATAATCTATAGTCCATCCTGCACTTAGTAGCATCTCCCTTATTTTTTCTCGCAGCTTCTGTTTTTCTGTGCCACTACCCTGCCTCACCTTCCCTTTTTTCATGATTGCAGTTGGGAGTTTCTGACGCAAAGGAGTTTGTTCATCCTCAGAGCCTGCCCTTTTCAAAGACTTGCGAGTTTTAGAAGTTTCTAACTCCTGATTTGATGATGAGTCACTGTCCTCTGTATCCCAAACATGACCCTTATTGCCCTTAGTTGAAAATGATTTTTTTGATGAAATCCGTTTTTTCTCTTGCCTAACAACTAAACCTGGCTTCCGATCAAGTTTTGTTTCTGAGTATGATGAAGGATGGACCAGGTTGTTCTTCTTCGTACTGCCCTCATTCTTCACACTCTGTCTGCTTCCCACAGGTTTGCGATGACCATAGTGCTCTAATGGGCCAGCCTTCTTCTTCTTATTAACCATCACCTTCAGAACACCATTTTTCCCCTGAACCCTGATGGATTCATCTGATTTAAACTTATTTTTGAGCAAAGAAAGAGGTAACTGAGCATCACTCCTATTTGCTTTTAACCTGCTCTGGTTAATATTATCTCCTATATCCAAGCCAATAGCCCTGTCATAATAAGAATTCCTTCTACTATAAACAATGTGTCTACTGGACCCTGTTTCAAATTCCCTCTCAATGCCACTAGAAGCAGCATGCATTGGTTCCCTAAACCTTCTTCCTCCAAAACTAACCCCATTATCATCATCAGACTTCCTCCTTTGAGTCATTTGCACATCAAAACCATCATATTCATCAAAATCAAACACGCCCAGTTTATTCTTCTTTGTTTCCCTCTGCTCCAAACCATTCTTGTCAAACACAGAATCCTCATTACGTCTAATCTGCTCCGTTCTATCCCTCTTTCTACCAGTTTCACTCCTTTCTTCTGTACCCCGCTCAAAAGCAGTCAGCCCATTACAGACACGAATAGTCTCAGAACCAAGCCTTCTCATTGGAGAAATTAGCAACTCATCGCTTGAATCTGAATCACTCTTAGCCACACTAGGCCTTTTCCTAACCTTTGATTCACACAGCTTCCGCGAGCTGCTCGAAGAACCAAATCTACCTCCCAAACCATCTCGTTTCTCCCTAACTATTAAACAGCCCGAGGAGTTTCTATTTTTTACTACAATCCCGGAATGGCCAGCCGATCTCATGCTCGGTTCCATCTACATGAAAAACCACAACCAAAACCCCCCCTAAATCGCAAAAACCTCCCCCACAAAATCCATCCCCGAGAATTCACCAAGCAAACCAAGTAGCAACCTAAATCACCGTTTACAGAAATCCCACAGAACACACTACAAGATCCGAGTCAAAACAATCCGAATGCGACAAAGCCTCGCCTTTGAAAGAAGCCCCAGAGAGACAACATGCCAAAGCAAGAATTTTCGAGGAACCTTACCTCGCTCCGTGAAATTTACCGAATCCCTCAGAGGCAATTCTTGCTCCGCGGCCGCAACTCCCTGATACAAACAAAACTGATCGGAGTGCTAAGCGAATCAGAGAAGGAGAGAGGATGAAGCAGAGGAGATTTTTCGGCTCGGAATGGCAGTGCTGCGTTATAAGTACCACAACATTACGCTCTCTGTCTCCAAAATTATTTCCCTTTTTTTAATCTGCCCTTTCTCGTTTACGTTCCCACCTCCAAGTGCGTATTTTTTTCCCAGAAAACGCACAACTGGGATTATTTTTCCCAATAGTTTCCCTCACTTTCCCTCCAAATCTCCGATTTACACCGCCAAGTGGGATTACTTCGACGACCACGATGTCGCCACGTCATGAATGTGGGCCCCCAATTGATGACGTGGCATCACCGGACGATTGAGGAACACATTGGGGCCTGTTTATGCAGTTTGCACGTCCGTTTCTTTCTTCTTCTTCTTCTTCTTTTTTTTTTTTTGCGCCTTGTGATAATTTTCTTCCTGGTTTTGATGGTTTTGGGAAAATCGAGAAATGATTTGCGCGCGGGGATTTGTTCGCGTAACAGTTCGGGGAGAATGAAACCATGGGGTATGATCTGGCCAGATAGGTTGGGGCATATGTTTGGGGCAACCAATCTCTTTTGCTGTGGGGACTGGGGGGAATGACAGTTAAAAGGAAAATTCATTATAAAGGACTAAAAATATATTATCTTCAATACTCCTCCGGTCCTAATTATAAGACCCAATTGACTTATTTGAGGAGATTAAGGAAGTAAGTTAAGTTGGTTATTTATAATAAATAAATGTTGTTATTCCTAAAATATCTTTGCTAATTAAATATATTGGCTAAAACTATCATTATTAGAAGGATTATCTTGGAAAAAATGCATAAATATAAGAGAGAAAATGGATTGGGTCTTATAATTAGGACCAAATAAAAAGTCAAATTGGGTCTTATAATAAGGACCGGAGGAGTACTTAATATGAAATCTAATTAACTAATTTAGAAAGATTAAGAAAGTTAATTTATTTATAGTAAATAAATATTATTTTTTCTAAAATATGCCTTGTAATTATACGTGTTTGAATTATTCATTAATAATAACTCCTTAAATATGCAATTACTATATAGATTACTAGAAGGCAAAATAAATAATATTTGAGATAAAATGAATTAGAATCTTATATTTATGATCAAATTAATGTTCAACTAACTCTTATATTAAGGAACTGATGTGATATAATAATAGAAATTTTCAATAATAAATGAACAGTATAAATTTATTATCATTTTTTAATTATGTAAAAATTTATCATTGCATATTGCTCATTAATAATATTTTTTTTTATAATTATGCTTTTTATTTGGGGCTTGTAGTGATTCTTACCAATTAAGAATATGGCAAGTGTTATAAATTTATCATAAATTGAAAAAAATTGAAATTAATAAGAAGATTATGCAGTTAAAAATATTAAAATATTATGTAGTATTAAATTTTATTTTATTTTTTGGTTTTTTATTGATGCATCCCAAATGGACTTCATATAGAAGTAATAAGTTATTGCTTTTCACATTATATAACTTTGGAACTATTATGGGGGGGGGGGACTTTGCAATCCACGCACAAGCATGTAAGCATTCAGTATGTCCCAATCTAGTAAATTGGTGTTTGTTGATGATAAACATGATCCATCCAAAGATAAATTGTGTCATCAATGAGTTGCAAATAGTGGGCTCTTAAACACATCTTTGCTCTATCATCACTATTTGTGAAATTTTGGCCTTATGGCATGAAATTCTACCAGCGGAATAGCAATACAACCATATGCTAATTAATTTGATATTCTTTTTTTCATATTGAAAAACAAGTTAAAACTTCAAATTTACAAAAATTAGAAAAAGAAAATTAGCAAACAGTTATAGGAGACTCTCTCTTAGGAGGATCTTGTATAACAAACATGTTTTCAACTAGATTGTAAACTTCCTTAACAAGATTAGTCTTCAATAGCTTTTCATGGTGCATTTGTGAGTTTAAAATACTAATCAAGGTGGATTATGCCTCTAACTTCATTGATTTATGACTTCAAATGATGATTTAGACCTCTCTTTTCTTAAAAAAAAAAAAATTGAATAGACAAGAGTTACTCTTGGATAAAGATACAAAACACTGCAATCAGCACTAAGGACTTAGCAGTGAAAGCCCCACTAAGTCAGATTGCAAAATCCTAATACGGTAATCAGGAGGCATCCACAACAACTCCACGTTTTGACTTGCTTCATGAGCCATATTGGCTATCGTATTAGCACACATTGAGGCTTCTTGATATGCATGGCTAATTTCCAAGTTCCATTCAGAGAAAATTAGTCCTCGCACTTCTTCCACCATGGCATGCAGGGACTAGTTTATATCACTCCCTTGTTGAATCAGTTGTAGGGCTTGCAACGAATTTGAAAAAAATTTGATCTTTTTGTATCCCAGATTCTTGGTGACTTGAAGCCCCATTTTAATGGCATTCAATTCTGCTATGAGGGAATATTGACAGTCAAGTCGTTTTTGGAATCCCGCCACCCAGTTCCCTTGGTGATCTCGAATGAGTCCTCCACACGCTGTATACCCATTTGCGTTTCTAGACCCATCAACATCTACTCGTACGTAGCTTTCTGGCAGAACTTGCTGTCTAGCTTCTGGCTACCCTGTCATTTGGAATACCTTGTGCGCATATCTTCCACGATCTACATCTTCCATAAGAGCATATAGACATCTATGTATCAGCTGTTGAGGTTGATCACTTGTTCTTTCAAAGGTCTTCTGACACCTGTTTTTCCAGATAATCCAGCATATATGCCCAAAGACTTAGTCCATGACCATTTACTGAATTTTCTATTAGCAGGTTTGCACATCATGTTCTACTTAAGCCAACCCTGTAAATCATTACAGAAAAAAGCAGGATAATAAATATAATCTATTAGCATTAGCCACACTTTTTTTGCTACCTCACAATCTCTCAAAATATGGAGTATGGTTTCCTCACTCTGACACTCTAAGGAACACACATTATTGGTGTTGAGTCCACATTTAGCCCAAAGAGAGTTTGTAGGAAGACACTCATGGAATACTTGCACATGACGTATTTAGCTTTTTCTAGAAGCTCCCACATCCACATGTTCTGCCAGCACATTGCCCCCTCATTTTCATTTGGGGCCGAGACCAACTTATAGGCTGTTTTAACATTGAAACTACCATCGAAGGACAATCTCCAATAAATCTGGTCAAATCTTATAGCATTGGGAGGTTGTACTGCCTATATTTTCTCAATAACCCAGTTTGGTAGGAATTGTTTCCACTTAGAGATGTTCCAGCTTCCACTATCCGTGACAAAGTCTCTCACCTTTTCCTCCTCATTAATTCTAGATAGATTTTTATCCACAAAGAAAAGGAAGGGCTCATTCAAGAGGGCCCAAACTCCTCTCCAGGCTGAGACATGCTCCCCACTATTGAGTTTACAACCAAGCCCTTTTTTAAAGTCATTCCAAACTGACATGATAGCCCTCCAAGCCGTAGATTATTGCCTTTTTTTAGCAATCTCTGGGTGTCCAATCTCTCCACAGCCATATTTACTCCTCAAACATCTCACCCATAGTGTATCTATTTTTGTAAGGAGACTCCAACATAACTTCATAATAAAAGTGACACTCTGTTTGCAAAGATCTTTAAACCCAAGACCCCTAGTCTTCTTCTCCTTCTTAATCCTTTCCCATGAGATAAGATGCATTTTCCTACCATCTTGAGTGTGGTTCCAGAAGAAATTCCTATTTATTTTCTTGATTGAAGCACACCTTTAGGCATCATAGTAGGGGATTGTGGACAGCACAAACTTAATAAATACTGATTTCCCAGCCATACTCAAAAACCTCCCTTTCCAGTTTGCAAGTTTCCTTTGGACCTTAGCAATCATAGGGGCATACGTGGTCTTAATTGCTCTCTTATGAAGCAATAGAACTCCAAGATACTTCCCAAGATCTAGCGTGATGCCAATGCCCAATATCTGACTAACTCCATTGCCCTATTATAGTGTACATTTCTGGAGACAAAGACTTTTGACTTCTGAAGACTAATCCTGTGCCCAGAAACCTTACAGAACCACGCCATAACACTTCTTACTGCTTCCACTTGTCCTGATGAGGCTTCACAAAAAAGTATGAGATCGTCTGCAAAGAATAAATGTGAAAGTTTTGGTCTCCCTTGACCAAACTTGAGTGGTTTCCACCTTCCTCTATCAACTTCTAAATTAATAAGGTGGCTCAGTCTTTCCATATAGAGAACAAACAGGAAAGGACTAAAGGGATTGCCTTGTCTTACTCCTCTAGTCAACTAAAAGTAATCTGAATGTGATCAATTCCACGCTACCCTCATGGATGCTGAGGTGACACATTGCATGATTAACTATATGAATTCACTATTAAGACCCAAGGTTCGCAATGTTGATTCTAAAAAACCCCAATCAAGCCTATCATAAGCCTTTTCCATGTCTACCTTGATGGTAGCATATCTTTTCCCACCTCTTTTAGACCTCATTGAGTGTAAAACTTCCTAGACTAGGATGATATTATCATTGCTCTGTCTCCCTTTAATGATGCTGCATTGTGTGGGCTGAATTAAAAACCCCTTAAAGCCTCTGAAACGATTTGCTAGAAGTTTGCTTAGAATCTTGAAGCACATGTTGCACAGTGATATAGATCAGAAATCCTTCATCATTTTTAGGTTATCCACCTTGGGGATAAGCACTATATTCGTGTTATTGACATCACAAATAAGTTCTAGTCCCCTTACCAATTTGAAGATAAGCTCACACACTTTTGCACCTATAAGGTCCCATTAGGATTGGAAGAAATGTGGTCGTAGTCCCTCCGACCCAAGTGCTTTAAAAGCCCCCATCTCAAAAGCTGTCTTTTTAATCTCTATAGTTGAGACATCACGCTATATGAAATTGAGTTGTGTTTCAGATAGTGTAGGTAAATGTGTCTGCCAGTCACAAGTCAGATTCAGGGAGTTATCTTTGGTGTACAAATTTTTGAAGAAGTTCACAGCCATATTCTTTAGCCCCTCAGGTTCTATGATCCAATCACCATTTTCATCTTTTAAGGCTTCAATCCTGTTTTTCTTCCTTTTAATAATCGTAGATGTAACATCCTAAGTTTTATCGGGTTTTAATAGCCTCTTTTGGGTTGATTTTGAGGATAGATTAGTGATTTAATCTTGAT